CAACCCACGTGTCATGGCAACTCACGTGTCATGGCAACTCACGTGCCATGGCAACTCACGTGCAGGCAACTCACGAGCAGGCAACTCACGTGTCATGGCAACTCACGTGTAGGCAACTCACGTGTCATGGCAACTCACGTGTCATGGCAACACGTGTCATGGCAACTCACGTGTCATGGCAACTCACGTGCAGGCAACTCACGTGTCATGGCAACTCACGTGTCATGGCAACTCACGTGTCATGGCAACTCACGTGTCATGGCAACACGTGTCATGGCAACTCACGTGCACGCGGTGTCCTGGCCACAGAAGAACTCTGTGAGCTGAGCGAAGTCTGGCCGCTCGTCGCCCTCCACGTACTGACACTCGCGGTCACCGCTCAGCACACACGTCTCGTAGTCCTGGACATGTCGTGGTCATGTCACATTTAGCTTAAATTAATGTTATTAAGCTTATATTTAGTGATTATGATCATTAATGTATGTCTCGTAGTCCTGGACATGTGCCTCAGAAGTTACAATAAATGTTAGAATAAAATTATTCCGGGGATATTTTTTGGCATCATAGAGAAAGGGCAATTTTAGTACTAACTATTTTTAATTATTCAATAGAACAATAATATAGAACATTATATTACGACTCTTTAAAATTATTTGAATAATCTACACAATTATGAAATTTTCACAAACGGTTCGAATAATGAAAATAGGCAAACGGCATCGTCACTCATAGAAAATAATGACTCATATTGTCCAAATAGTGAAACAATTTCGGAAAGTAGCACTGATACGCCCTTTTATCAGGCATAAAAAATGAAAAAAGTGCATCGCTATTTAAACAAAGTCTCGTTAACTTCTCTGAGTGATTAGTTTAGCTGGCGCTGACAGTTGGTTTTGACGCCTGCGAGGGAATATGCGATCCAAAACTGTGCTCACGAACAACACTTCAACACATCATCAATAAAGTCTATAATGTTCAATGCACAAAATTCTTCATAACATCCTAAAAAATTGAGTCTTCTGCCCACAACCAAAACACAAATGATCATAACTGCATGGAAACGGAAGTCAGCTCAAGGAAGTTAATTTTTTCCTTCATACGTGAAACTCACCAAAAGCCAAATAGCTTTGATCATATTCTTAACGCTGCATTCTGGAACACCTATAGTCAATTGATTCTCAAGCAAAACTCTTAACTAATTTCGTCGAAAATAACTGCAGCGATTCTGTGTCAGATATAACTATGTCGGATAAAAAGGTAATGAACTGAACGGTTCATTGAGGGTCGCATTTCCCTTGCTTAAAAAGTCGTTAGAAAGGCTCCAGCTCAGCGCAGTGACGGTTTTTTCGGTCTACCGTAAGAACTGCGCCACCATAACCGAGGTGGCGGTTCTAGATCGAACCACTAATCGCTGTGGCTAAGCCGAACCCTTCCGCGCCTGAACCGCGGTCAGCTGTGAACCAATTAACGATCATATTCTACGTCGATCGTTGATGGCAGACGTGTTTTACGTTAATCATCCTGCATGTTTAAAGGACGCATTGTATGTCTATCATAATGCCTAAAAACAATTGAGTTCCGCATCAGTTACGTTGCTTCAGTTCAGCGGCGTAAATGAGCAGGTCAGAACGCAATGAACAATTCAGAACGCAAATGAATGAATGAAAACAGCCTGAACCGTTGGCCGTAAAATTGCTTCGTAAGAGCAATTGGTGGCAAGTTCATACACACGCGGTCAACTTGACACGTGCGAAGTTAAAGACAAGTGCATGCACACGCGGTCAAGTTGACACGTGTCAAGTTTCAGTCAAGTTTGGACTCACATCGTAAAGTTGACGTAGCAGACGTGCTTGACGTAGACCGAGGGCGGTCTGAAGACGTCGACGAGCTGCACCAGCCTCTTCTGCAAGACACGTTTAAGACATGTTCAAAACGACTTATAACGTGTTAAGGGTTGTAGCAGTGTTGCGCGAACATCAATGTTACACTTATATAATAGAGTAATGATTGCATCACTGTTGTTATAAATATTAAATTTTATTAACACTTTACATTATTTTGAAGTATTGGGCGGTAACACGCGTACGATGTGTACATAAGTGTTAAGCTATGTGGTAGTGTTATGTGTTCATCAGCGCTACGAGAAACATCAGATCCGACTCAAGTAAACTGAATCCTATATACAATGATGAAGAATGACACGACAAAGAAATCATTTCAAGGATCGGGAGGAACGCCTTATAGCATGAGTAAAGATCCGGCTTATGAATGAACCTTCTGCTTAACAGTAATCATCCAGCTGAGTAAATATCACGCGTTCCTCAGGTGTTGTTGACTCTGCCAGCGATGAGTGAAGGCAACCCACGTGATGTGCTGGTGCGTAACGAGGCCACGTCTGTTGCTACGACATACTGCCTGCCTCATTAGTGTCATTAGTGTCTGCTCATTAGTGTCGCCTAATAGCCTACTTAATTAGTAAACAATCATTAGGTTTTAAAAACATGGGTCACTAAATAACGATGTTAGTAATATGACTGATGAATCATAACGCATAGTAAGCTTAATTCTTGAAGAAGTTTATTTATAATCTGCAGCGCTTGCGATTGATGCAATATATCTGGGCGCTTGCATAAAAAGCGACATTGAAAAGTGTAGCAAGTTCAAGTTGAATCAGTAAGGTCGACAAGGTGCTTAACAGCAATTAAACTTTCAAGAAATGTACGTAAAATAACTATTTACAATAGTTGATACCAATAATAGCAGCACTTACATCTATCACTTGCACATACATACATACTCTAAAAGCAACTCCTACAGCCACTACTAGCAAAAACTATATCCACCACCTGTAACACTTGACTCCACCACCAGCAACACCCAAATCGCTACTAGCAATACCAACATCCACTACTCGAACGCACTTTGGGAAATATATAGGTACATAAAATAGATAACATTACAGCCACGCTTGATCATGACTATTGTTGAGAGTCTAACAGCAACAATAGTGCCGAAAGTAGGTTGCACGGAGTCGTGAAACTGTCGTAAAATGTGTTCTTTCAACGTTTATAGTGAAGTAGGTCTTCAATATAAACATCTAAAACAGTGAAGTAGGTCTTCACTATAAAAATATAAAGCAGTGAAGTAGGTCTTCACTATAAAAATATATAATGGACTCAGGTCAGTCATGTAGTTGAAACAAAAGCACTCGTGAAAACACGCGTCCGTGACTGGCCCGCGGCGATCCGGGTCCGATTAGAGTGAGCGCTGCGGCCTTTATTCCGAAGAGTACCGTATATATGGACCACATCGTTTCTTTTCGTACTAAGAATTTCCTTCCGTTGGCTTCCCCGTTAGAGTGCAACCCTCGTTAGAGAGAAGCCGACAATTCTTCTTACACAAGATTCGCATGGACCAATACGTTTCATGAATGAGTTTTGTGCAGAAATATTATGAAACACCACTTACCGCATCACATGCTGCATATTGTGTAAGTGCACCGCGCAGAATGACTACATTGCAACGAAAAAAACTACAAGAGCACAACAACCACTCATACATAGGCGGCACTACAGGCAAACCTCGAGGCAAAAACTAAGACAATCACGACTACCTACGGCGCTGCCGCCGCAGTGGAGTATTCACCTGCTCCCGCGTGCTGAGCTTGATATTCTCGACTTTCTGTGGGCGGTCTCTGTGGAAGGTGAACACTCACCCACTCCCGCATGGTGAGCTTGATGTTCTCGACTTTCTGTGGCCGGTCTCTGTGGAAGGTGAACACTCACCTGTTCCCGCGTGGTGAGCTTGATGTTCTCGACTTTCTGTGGCCGGTCTCTGTGGAAGGTGAAGCCGTTCTTGTAGCTGAGGGCGCGCAAGAGCTCCATGGTGCTCTGGCTTCCCACTTTAGGCACTCGGTTGAACAAGAGCGTCAACTTGGCGTGGTGCTGCGTGTTGTTCAGAGACATGGGGTCTTCCTGCACGTGGTTGCATTATTCACATGTGCGCGATATACATGGTCCGTGACGCCGCACGTGAACAGCAAGAACATGAATTCAGAAGTACACTTGACAGTATTGCATAAGGTACAAACAACAACGACCTATAAAGCTGAATCCAGTAACTCGGATCTTAATACAGCAAGCTAATAATAATATCATAATACAAAAAATTCTCTTACATCACAGCAAAACAAAGCTTGTCGAAACCGATTACACAGCAGTTGACTGCTGGGGCACTCACGCGTTGTTCAGAAGTTCGGAAATAATTTTTTTCCTTCAGTTTCATAGCTTTAAAACTTGTAAATAAGGCACTGCTCTTGCATTAGGTTTTACCGGGAAACACAACATGGGTGGAATTATATGCTCATTATCAGAAACAGTTCTGCTCAGAAGCCTTCTATTGCTTCGCTGTTTCGATGCACGAAGGCTAACATATTTTGCCCTCTCTATATGATAATCATTTCTCAACGCGCAAAGAGTTACTTAAAGGGAAGCACATGTGTTTTTGTGGTAGACGTCGCGGGTCGTCACAACAGGTACAAATGAATCCTTCAGTCCAGTATGTTACATGATTCACATATTCACCCCTAGATATCAGCCATGACTCAACTTACATGAGATAAGCTCAAGGCCTTGACAGGATCAGCACGTCGCGAGGAGTCGACGATGTAGTTCTCGGCCGACACTAGTTGTCGTGAGTTAGACCCTAAAATAAGATGAAAATTATTACTGAGAACGAAAAGCAGTGCAAGACAGCCATTAACAGAACTCAATAAAACTCAATGCCGACGTAATTGCCTGATTAATGAGCATCAAGCGTATTAATATAGAGCGTTCAAATGTTATCACTTAGAAAACGTAAGGTTCCAGCTAGTCGGACTTCAGTCTCGTATCTTTTTAATTTTGGTTGTATATGCTTGTTGAACATGGTAGACAACCGCATAGGCATGTCTATAAACCGACTTTTAATTTGAAGTATTTGTGCTAAACATAGATCATGGTGAATTATTTCAACAATATTGCTATTGGATCTGAATCGTTTATTAGTCCACTATGTATGTACCTCGTAGTTCAGAACTATTGGGGAGAAGTAGGAATATTTCCGACACAAATACGAAGGGTTTGTCCATGTACAGGAGTGGCATTCAGAAATGTCAGGTATACATGAATTTTTTCTATAGAAGTTACTTGAGTCGCGTGTGCGATATACCAACTTCGTAACTTTCCTACCTTAAGGTTCAGAGTTCAACTCATGCAGGCTTTCAAAGTAATAACGAGGTAATGATGGCACGGTGAACTCTATTGATGACAGTCAGGTAAAACATATGTTTGAATACAGGAAACAATATATACAATGGCTTCTATGACAACACGAATGGCAGCACCTGGCGGGCCAACTAGTATCACGCCGACCGTCCTAGCTTTATAGACTCCTGTCCACAAGCTGAACCTTAAATAAAAGTTTTACTCCGTATGAGCATCATAAGTTCTTTCAAATTCATCTGACGCTTACTCAGCGTCTTCTATGTATTGAATCAATCACAAAAGCTTCCAGAGGAAATAAGGTCTGAAATAAATATTATCTAAGGTTTATTCTCGAATCATTTGTAATTAATTTACTGAGATACGCGAGCTCCGACGTACGTATATGGGGCGAAAAGACACTAAAGTAGTTTATTTAGGCGAAGAAATGGTTTGTATACGGACTAAACCGTAGCTCCACCACCTGTCTCTGCAGCACCCACCTGTCTCTGCAGCACCCACCTGTCTCTGCAGCACCCACCTGTCTCTGCAGCACCTACCTGTCTCTGCAGCACCCACCTGTCTCTGCAGCACCCACCTGTCTCTGCAGCACCCACCTGTCTCTGCAGCACCCACCTGTCTCTGCAGCACCCACCTGTCCCTGCAGCACCCACCTGTCTCGTAGTACCCACCTGTCTCTGCAGCACCCACCTGTCTCTGCAGCAGAGAGCTGCTGCGTGGTGTATTGGCGCAGTTGGCTCTGCAGGTGGCTCGTGTGGAGGAAGAGCAAGCAGCAGGTGGTGAGGCTGACGACGGCGAGCAGTTCGCTGCACCTGAACAGCGGATCGCAGACATGCTATAAGATGGGTGGATAAATGCATAATAAATTTAATTAATAAATGCATAAAATTTGTATGGGCGGATAAATGCATATTTACCACTAGCAGTTGTTTCTTAACAGTAGTACAATAACTATCATTGAATAATTTATCATATTTCCGCCAGCGGTAATAGGGTGACGAAATTGACTCATGTACAAACGAAAAACACTAGAAAATTATATTGCAATTTATTGTTGAAAGAATAACATGGGAATTTCTGATTGTTCAAATAGGATAACAACGTGGAAATGTTAAGGAACAATTGGCTAATAGCTTCAGCGTAATCAATAATTAATGAAATGAGCAAGAGCAAGCAGGGAAACTAATTTACCTAACCAGCTATTTATTTGTGTAGGAAAGAGAACGTATAATTCCATAGTAGTAAACGAAACAGGTGGTATCAGAAAAATGGATCAATGTCTGGTAAAAGAAACCACATGAAAGCCTTACAGGAAAGTCTACCCGAAAAAGCATAGGAAGGAACAGATTACAAAGAAAATATAGCAATTAAATCGTAAAAAAGAAGAGAGTAAGACAGTCAAGCAGCACAGTGCGACGTCGCGTCTATTACGGCCGTCGAATTTAAACGTCGTCGGGAGGGTGCGGCACGCACAACACTTCACGTGGCGTCATGAACATGCGTCAAACATGTTTGGAAATAGAAGACGTCTCTGCAATACGTGTTCTGACAGCCGTGCGAAAAGTTCGGGCAAATGAAAAATGCAAGGTGCGTTGGGACGGAGGCAAGGTGCGTTGGGACAGAGGCAAGGTGCGTTGGGATGGCTGTATAATGCGTCGGGACGGCTGAAAGATCACAAATTTCCAGATGCTGCATCAGTTGGAGCAGTTGAATATATCGTGACAGTTGCGCCGCAGTCATGGAGGACACTTGTAGCATCGACTTCCCAGAATCACCGCAGCACGAGTACCATCAGCAAGCGCTGCAACTTGTGAGTATAATCGGGACACGAATGTGCCTTACGTGTGGGGCCGATGCAGGCACATACCTTCACCAAAATATTTACCGGCACGTTAAATAACAAATTTAACGGCAGGTTAACCGACTAATTTGCCGATAGGTTAACCGACAAATTTACCAGTAGATTAACCAACAAATTTACCGGCCAATAATAAAGGACAAACCAATAATAAAGGACAAACTGAGTCGTACCTTGAGCCATAAAAGTTGACACACCAAATAGATGTTGAAATGAGTGGCCAGAAAAGCAAGAACATGAGGTGAACGAACCCACACAAGACGAGTAGCTTTATTTGGCAGCTGAAAACGATAAGATGGAGCGTTATTTTGGCCAGGACACATGGAGCACGACATGACGGGGCGTTATTGGGGGAAAGGACACATGGAGCACGATAAGATGGGGCGTTATTTAGGGCCAGAAGTATGTATGAAGCACGATATGATGGGGAATTGTTTGGAGCCATAACTCATGGAGCACGATATGACGGGACATTACTTAATTGGGGCCAGAAAAGATGTATATAAAGGCCCATCCTATATGACGCAAACTTGTCGAGGCCAGTGGCCCGCACAAGACGTTTGTCATAATGAAGTGAAAGTGTGGCAGCCGACAAACCGACATGCACGTCACGACGACCGGAACGTTATGTGTGTGGTGGTGCTGGTATTTCACGTCGCTTCCACTACTTTTACTTCCTTAAATCTTAACAAACCCTGAATGTGAACTTTTGAGGCGTGGCATCGAATTACATTGTAGCGCAAATGTTGTGAAGCGTTGAAACGAGAAAAATTTGATTTCAAGCTACGTTTCTCCAGCAATAAAGGAACGAATAAAATTTCGTGGCAGATTGATTTATCTGAGATATCAAGCGTACACGAATAACAAATCAAATTTTCAAAGTGTTGATACAGATTATAAATAAAAATTCGAAAACTATTTGACAACAAAGAAGACAAAAACACAGGGTTTGATGGGAGCGGTGGAGGGATGCTAAACTTCCTATGCATTAAATAATATCTGCTGTCTCTATATAGGTACAATCAGCTGGAAATGACTGCATGGGACATGTTGTCCAAATTGTAATACACTAAATGTGCGTAGTCCTGACACGTCCTGTTTCAGGGCCAAACTGGGTCAAAATGATCAACACTTAAGTAAAAAGTGCGTCAATCTTTGGACAATGTTTCATTCAATTCTCTCGGTGCAGCACCATGCAGCCGAACCCTCACGGTCAGACTGGAGGTCTTTGCTCTTCTCACAGCACGCGACGCCGGCACCGTTACACAGCAGCGGCCGACGCTGTGCTGTACACAGCAGCAGCAGCCGACGCTGTGCTGTACACAGCAGCGGTCGACGCTGTGCTGTACACAGCAGCGGCCGACGCTGTGCTGTACACAGCAGCTTTCATTATACTCCTTGACCCATGGCGGGCCGATAGATCAATTCAATCGTGATGAGTCACAGCGGAGGAAATTATCAATTGGCAAAATCGCAGGTTAATTCAAATATTCTAGGCATGTGATGTGCCATCAACTACCCTGAAATGAGACTCATTTTAATTAATCTTCAAGTGAAACGCCGTTGAGTTACAGTAAATTAGGTTTAACAGGCAAGCAAAGTATCGTAATGTGCATAAACAGTTGAACAAATCAGTTGATCAGTCCATCTTTAATTATGCTCCCATATATATCAGTATTATAGGGTATTAATAAGTATATATCAGGGTATTAATTAATGTCTGCATGACTTACAGTTAGGCTCGTATGAAGGAGGTACTTTCAGTAACAGTATGTCGTTCTAACTCACTTAATTGTATTACATTTCGCTCTCTTTCGTCTTCAATCAAATATGTTCATTGTGTAGTACAATCAGGAAAGTTACACAGCCCCGACGAGACGTGCTTTACAACGCTTATCAGGAATTCATTCTTCAAAAATAACGCATTGATACACTTTTTAGCAAAATACAGAATATTTTTCTACTTTTCAATGTAACTCTGTAAAAATAATATTGTGAAGAAACTACATAATTACCGGTCTTTTGACGCAACTTAGTAGGCTAAATATTGTTCCGCTTAATTACAATAAACTTAATTAACTGCACTATGGTTAGCAAATAAAGTGTAATTTATTACGAACTAACGCATTTATATGTAACTCAATTAAATCAAATTTCATCTGGAGGCAATTCGTTCTCAATAACTGCTATTGTGTAACTCGGCACCAGATTGACTGCCTTCAGACCTACTATCTCACTATCAGCAACTGTGTTCCGGCAACTTTGGTATCACTAAGGTTTACGTTATGAGACAATATAGAACTTTCACGTCGTCGGTCCACACGCGACGCGCCACTAATAACATCGCCACATTCACCACAAGCGCCAGCCGCGCCAAATCGCGCGCGCGTCTTGAGGCAGAGCGAAGCTATCGCGGCTACTCGGCAGCGAAAGCAGTGCGACTTTCCCTTCAGAAAGCCAGGAAAGTCAACACACACTTCGGCAAAACTGTTCCACTTTGCTGTATTTTCCTAGTGGACAGAATTTTTTTTCCAAACGGACAGATATTTTTCTAAAATTCCATTGTTTTGTGTATTATACGATCATTCTTTTCTGAACATAAAAGCTACTTCGAAAATCATCACATGTTGCTTGCTTCGAATATTTATTCTTGCAAGATATCTAAATTCAATAGGACTGGTTTGCTGTAGTAGCCGCCACTACAGGCTTAATTGCTGTTCAAGAGCCTGAACTTATATAAATCGTTTCATCAATGGCTGAGCATTTCCGCTGGAGAATAAAACTATTGCTAATATATTCAGTAGGCCAGTAACACTTTTATTGTAAACAGCAGATGGTGATAGAGGAGGGCACAAAGAATAAATAATTCGAGTTTAAGTTATACAAATACTTGAACAAAAACGATGCAACAAAAATCAGCAAATATAAACTGCAAAAATCTTTTGTAATCCTTGTAATCTCATTTTTCGCTGGACGAAATCCATCATTCAAGTTCATTTTTGAATGAAGGGAAGGTGAAATCCACACTGCTGCAAATTACAAGCGTAGAATGAGGACTATATAAGTCATTACAGAACTTGACTAGAAATTATAAAAAAAATTTAAACAGACATCCAAGTTCATTTCTTCTGCACGATTACGTCCTTCATTGTCCAAATAAAATGCAGCTACAGCCAGGCTTGTCTAATCAAGTTTTCACGGATTTACATTTCGCGGCTAATCTTACTTTGCAGTCGTCACAAAAGCTACAGCAGGGTTCCAAAGTTTCGAAGAAAACGTTTATTACGATTCACCAACTAATGTTCGCTCGCTTGTTGTCTTCAGCACGCGTTTTGCCGAATTCTTTGCCCCAGATTTTCGTTCGGAACCTGACTAGGTATTTCACCTGCCGCTTGAAGTATTTCACTTGCCGCTTGAAGTATTTCACTCGTCGCTTGATGTATTTCACTCGCCGCCTGATGTGTTTCACTCGCCGCAGTTGATCTTCCACTGCTGCCAGCCTGCCAGACATTCCTTCAATTGGTGCAGATCGCTGCATGGCTTCCAAATTGAGATCCCTGAAGTCCCGATTGAAGGCTTCGTGCGTTTCATTACAGCTTGTTTGCTTGTCGATCAGTCCATCGAGTTTTGATATTTGCTGTCGCAAGTTGTTGATGCCAGAACGTCGTATTTTCTCTGCAAAATCTGCCATAGTTGTTTTTCTGTTAGGTTTTTCGCGCAGTAAATTTTCACGAGCTGAATCTTACACTTTGAGGCGAGTTAAGGCTAGTCTGCACGTAGCATGAATACCGCGATCAGACAATTTTGCATTACTAAAATACTCAAAGATTTTAAATTTTTACGTGTAAAGCGGATGATTAATGTTGTAATGAAAATTTGCAACCTAAAAATTGTCTAAAATCGTCCCACACTTTGCTAGAGTTCTTCGCCTAATGGAAGCTAAAGCAGGCAGTTCATTGGTCCCGCGGCCAACGCGCCAATGAAAACGCGCTATGCAGCCAAGTATTTAACACTCATGTAAAAATCGGCAAATAACTGATTTATTAAGGTCTGAAATGAATCTAGAAATTGTGGTTCTAGGTATGCGAGATATTTATAATAGCGATTGAGAGCTGTCGCTTGATCAGTTTTTCAGTTGATTTTAATGTCACAGGCATGTTAGTGAGTAGAGTTAGTAACTCTGGTACAGGGCCATGATAATAGAACTAAGAAATTATTACATTCAGGTGATTACAAGATAATAATATTAAAAAACGTAGATTATAGTCTTTTGTTCAATTTGCATCGCATAGTCTCAGCAAATCGTGTTCAGACGTATTGAATGCGGATCACAATTGTTCGTACTTTTCCTGCTTGCTAATCAAAGAAGAAAATATGCTTAAACTTTATTTCAAATAAAAATTTCATTTTAACTAAAACGGTAAATTTCATAGTTTCAATAATTGAGTTTCAGAAGCTAGTTTCTTAATCGCCAGTAACATTTCAAGAGAACTATGTTGCATTTTCAGGTCATTGAATCGTGTAAACAATCAAGTCTGTAAATTATATCGTAAAATCGAGTCAAATAACTTGTAAACAATTATTCGATACAAGTACGTCAAGAATCACGTCAACAACAAAGAAAACATTCATTTAATTCATACAACTATGTCAACAACAATATCAGGTAACATTTCAACAAAGATTTAAAAATCATGCCAAATCATGTACCGTATAGGAACATGCAATCTCATCAATTTCGTACCGTGAGGTTCACCCGTCGGTAATTTTGTAATGGAAAATGCTATTCCATGTATCTCGTAGTGTGAGGTCATTCACGCGTCTACAATTATTAGGGCGAACAGGCAATCCCATCCATAGTTGAACTATTTAAGGCCCACCCATGCTTCGAAAAATTTAGTCACCATTCTGTGCATCTTCACTGTGACGTCACATGTATCGGGAAGCGTGAACAAATGTCTTTAGGGTCGTCAAACACATGTTAAAAGTGTCTGTTTTGAGCTAATTAAAAAAACTGACCATCTCTAACTTTGAAAAAAAAGTCTCCATAATTGAAACAAGCTTTGTTTTAACCATACCGGCGTCAGTAACCAATTCTGTAGTACGAAAAAATGAATACATGGAAAATAAAACCTCCTGGGATGACCGATCAACTTCGTGCTTCGCTAATTGCTGCCACTTCTTTGATCATCCGTTTGATGATCGAGAAAAGGAAAGCGTCCGCAAGAGAATTCCGTTTTTGTCGGGTGAGTGGATTTCGGTCTCTATTTGATTGATATCATTCATTGATTTTACGCTTATGATGCATATTCGGTAGATTTTAAATCGATTTCTTATGATTAGCTTTTTCACTGCGTGGCCATTATATGTCGATTATAACTGGATTGTAAACTAGCATCTGAATTAAAAATTAAAACGGTATCACAGAGATGCACAAATACCAGCATGCCGAAAACGTAATATTTTGAGTGGCACTTCGCGTTTTATGACGTTCAGCCTAATGGCCGCCATTACAAACCATTTGATATCAGTCGCTTCGGTTGGTCGTTTTCTTTTCCGTTTATTTGATTAACCGTACGAAATAATTGCATTCTGACGTAGACAATGTATTAAGCAAGACTAGTAGACATTGTTAAACACTTTTTCAGAAGATTCAAAGAGGTCAGGTATTTATTAAGTTAATTCAATGAGGACACTTTTTGAATGGAGTTCACGAGCAATATTTACATTTTGAGCTACACGAGACGTCACAGGCCGAGTAGTAGTAGTAGTAGTAGAATGGTTTGCTAGCGCTTCAGCTTTCAAGCTATTTCGCTAAGACACTCAAACAAGAGGTCGCTTACACGGGACGTCGGCCGCCCGCACGAGAGAGACAGAGAAGGAAAATGTAAGGAATCCTACCTAAATAATAACTTAACCCCACAACTGAGACCAACGGTCAGACACCGCGAGCTCAGCGGTGGGGCGCTCAGGAACAATCCCTCTAGGAACGCGAAATCCCATAGGACTTCTGACGAGCACAGACACGCGTCAGAAGTCCCCCCTGAGGGGCGTCACAGGCCGAGCAATACACGATTCGCAAGGCCAAGATGCGCGTAGGTCAACCCATGGTTGAACTATGGGTCAACCTTGTGTTAGTTCAACCATGATCCCATCTATCTCTTATTGTTAAGGCCATTCATGCTCGGCCGGACTTCATCGAAGCAAATCTCAAATTGCAAGATTGTTGTTCATTTTTTCAATTTGGATTATCCATTCTTCAATATACTAGTATTGATTAACATTCAAGTTTAACGCTTCTTCACTATGAAATTATGTATTCATAAATTCTCTATTGATTTATACTGTATTGATTTGTTCCACTTGTATTTGAGCTACATCGGTTATTACTGACGACCACCGAATTACCACTGCATTTTCACGTGTTTCCATCAACAATCATGCAACCAAATGTTCACAGGAAGTTTCCGAGTAACGCACTGCAGTGCAGGCCGGGACAATTACAACAGCAACTCGAGAAGCTGCTTGAGCATCTTTCTGGGCAAGCCTCAGAAAGAAAAATTAGAAAAAAAGCAAGAGAAAAAATGCTAAAACAACCCAGCGTTACTTTCATGATTTTAATCATATTTTTTATTTTAAACTTATGCTTAAAGTGCCTTTTAAACAATCAAACGATATTAATACTTTTCTCTGTGCGTAACAAATGAGGACAACCAACCTGGAAGGGACGAATTGCCGCCAGGTCCGCATCAAGCCAGTCATGGTTGATTAGAGGTAATTAGAAGATTGCAAGTCACGAGAGAGAACACGACGACTAAATCATCTGAAACTGCACTGCACTCTTGACGAGCTCTTAGATGACGTCACGATATTTTATTATTTAGTTCAACTTTAGAGATAGATTTCTTCATCAATTGATATCGTGTAGTATAAGTACATTGGAAACTAACATGGTGAACAGAAGTCTCATGACTGAGTAAATTATATAAACAGTGGTGATACGTAAACGTAATGGCTACCTAATTGTCCGATACGTATCTCAATTTGTTTTCAATAGTTTTTTTGGATTTGAGAGAAATCTCCACTCTAATAAAATCATCGAATACATTTAATCTAAATAGTAGCAAAAAAAGAACATTATACTCTGAGAACCACGGAATCTGGAGCACGCTAACTTCATTCTTGTTTGCGGTTGAGAAGAAGAATAAAAGAGAATTTCACAATGGGGCCAAATAAAAAATGATTGACTCTCCCTCCAAATAAGCAGATTGTTATTGAAATAACTGACAAATTGTACCAGATGAGGGATGGAGCCTAGTCAGCCTACCTAATAAAATTATTCGACAAAGGGAAGTTTATTTTCTCAACAAGGCATCGTTTACCGCCGCCATCACCACTCATTCAAGTTGAATGAGTAAGCTAAATGAATGTTTATTTGCTTAGCTTGTGTAAAGGTGTGTTTATGAGACCTCAAACTAAAATTAACATCACTTTTCCATAGCCTGAATATCGAGGTGTTTTTCCTTATTAACACGCACAACAAATATTCCTTTGAGTTAGCAGCTTTGAACTTGACATAGATGAAAACTTTAATAAAAAATGACCCAGACAGGCTCAGTGCCGCGATGTTCCAGTATTTAGACAAATTGGTTGAATAATGAGGCTTATCGTTGACAATTTTATACCTAGTGAAATTCTCACTGTGTAAGCTTGTCACTGTATAAATTTACTAAGAGAAAACCTACATCTTAATCGAAAGTACTCTGGGAACGTGAACCGTTGAGAACAGTTTAGCTCGAGCTCTCTCTCATTCCACACCTCACCTCACAGCACTCAGCTGGAAACTAACTGGTTTTGGTCTTTTAGTGCGTCTGCGTCTCGCGTGTTACTGATGTCACCTCAGGCCGCCTGCCGTTAGAATGAATTCTTTCCGAACTAATTTGCTGCAAGCAACACATGGGACTATGCTTCCTTGTGTTCTTCTGGAGTCAACAACTCATGAAATGTTCTTCTTCAACTTCAAACGGAGTAAACTAAAGAAATGTTTTTCTGGAGTCAATTACGGTTGAACAATTATTAATTGGTAATTTGTTAATTATTCTTTATTACACAAAACTAAACCATGTGAGAGACCCATGTAAGACCTATGTTAGAATGAATTGACATTGGTTACAAAAAGGAAGTGATTGAAGCAACTTCTCACCTTTTTCTCGAAAGAACGTGATAGTACCTGTCTCTTATACACATCTAGATGTGTATAAGAGACCGGTTTAGGATAATACAAAATCTTCAGTGGAGTTAGTTTACTATCACATCATAATTTGACAGGGAGCAAATTGAAGACGTGTCACTCGAATAGTGTTGAAGTGGACACATTATTTTACATTTTATTAGGATTATTTCATAAAATGTCTGAAAATGAGACAGAACATGTAAACTTTTCCGATATCGAAGAACAAGAATCAAACATAACTCAAATGGAATGTAGATGAAGAAAAGAGGATAGACACTCAATCACTATCCTGTAATTGATCACTTTCGATAACAGTGCGCAAAGGATTTGATTTTTTATAATTGATAAAAAGCAAGTACCGAGAGTAACATTTAATCCCTATGCAGGATAAGGCTTGAGGGATATTAGTGCAAGCATGGTCCCAAGGAGTTACCATTCAAAAGTTTGGATGAAAGTGTCCACATGCGTGTACGTACGTATTGATCAAATCATCAAAATTTCAGTTGTGTGGGTGAGGAGCAAAAGAATCACTCGCCTCGTTCGTAAGCCACCAACTGAAAGAAATTTTACTTGAATTTAATCTTGACACTTTAAACTATTTGTTCTGTCGATTTATTCAAAACCAAAAATTACCACTTCAATTTACACATTACATTCGGTTTCTCTCGCCAAAATAAGTACAAATAAAATACTAACTTTGCACAGACGAGAGATAAGGCGACAAAGGGCAGCAAATAAGCTTATTGGAATCCTGAACATTCAATAGAAAACTAATATATCAAATAATAGCTTAAAATATTAGGCATCAAATATTAGACAACAGTTTGCTTAAAATGCACCTTACTACAATTGCCTCGGTGCAGTATGTAAATACTTTAAGCAACATCACAGGTCAAACAAGGTTCGAAATTTGATATTAACACAATATGGACACAATAAAGTTATTAGTCTGAATCTTAAAACTACTGAGAAGTGCTCGTTTTGTTTGGTATTAATAAAAATTAGTTTCAAGTAATGTAAATTATAAAAGAAAATTAGCAAGAGACATTACTGATTAAGGCACAGAAATCTCAATAATCAGAATCATCGGAATCGTCGCCCTGTTTCCCCCCTCGGATGGTCTTAGCATTCTTGTTGTCAATGAGTTTTAAGGTTGATCTTCTGGGCTTGCCTGCCTCAGGAGGATGCATCAGGTCACCAGAGTATTCAATAACGTCACTGCGGGCAAGTCTCCACTCAAGCATTTCGGTGCTAAAGTCATCCACGTTTCCTAGTTCTGAGAAGCCAATGATGTAGTCCTTGGTCTTACCGTCCTTCACCACCACCAGCGTGGGTAGCACACGGATGTTAAGGCGATCTGCAAGGCACACGGACATCCAAGTTAAGTACTATGCTTCACATCACTTATGGCTGTCAATGCTAGGCATGAAAGTTACCTTTCGCATTAATAATTTAGAAGATGATGGATATTTGGTCACAATAAAGTCATTTAAACATCGAGTGTTGCACTGAAAATCATGCTACATTTAGAGATAAACAAGTTGAAGTAAATTGAGTGGAATGCTTCAGTTTGAGTCAGGTGTGAAAGTGAAGATCATAGTTGCTTAAGCTGTATTGAGATTGAGAGCTGCATTGAGTGCAATATGTATCACCACCAAGAGAAATTGTTGTCTGACCCGTATATGGATAAATTCAGCATAATCAATACGTGAAAAAATCGTTTCCTTCTTTTAGCTTGGCAATAAAGACCTGGCCATGAAAGTATTCATCTCATTAATGATTAAGAAATACTTTCCAAAATCATCTAATCACACTGTCCCTCATTACTTACAGATTAGTAATGTTACATAACAATGTAACTAAAACCTACTAGTTCATTAGAACATACTTGTAAGAAAAGGTGACTTTTCAGCATTGATTTTACAAAACTTTGCTTCGATGTGCTTCTTGCAGAGCAGAGCAAAATGCTTGTCCACAATCTTGCACCGCTCAAAGCCTTCTCGGTAGAAGTGGCAAATGACATTCTCGGACTTTTTGGTGGTCTCAAAAAATTCCTTCTCCTCACTGAGCTCTTGGTACTCACCATGACCCTGCAAAGGGAGTACATTTACTAGGAAGCTTTGGCCACTACACAAGCCTGCTTGCTTCTTCACAGCAAGGAACTGCCACTTGCCATTCATCGTGCAGGGAAGTCTTCCATACAATTTGGCAGCCACTCACTAACCAACCTCTTTCCAAGCATTCACAGCCTTTATTTGTACACAATTCCAGGCATTCATTTGCTTTTCATTGTAAATACAAAGCTTTCCATTAGTTCCAGGGTTGGCGATTTTTTTGATTTTTTTTTTTAAAAATCAAAAATCGATGATTTTTTATATTTTTTTCATGATTTTTTTTATTTTTTTCAGCTTTTTTGCCTTTTTGAGGTGTTATTTTTTATGTTGCAATTAGCCTACTAACAATAACAGTATATGGATCATACTGGATGGCTAAAAAGGGCACTTATTGCCTGCAATAATGACCAACAGGCCAAGGTGGTGTTTCCCACTTAGGGATTTTTGGGTAAACTATTATTGATAAGTCTATTCATTAGCTTTGTAAAGTTTGTATGGAGCAAGGTAATGAGCTAAATACTGACCATTTAACTTGCTTCAATATACAAAAACACTTCAGGAATGCAGATCTCCTAAACATTGAAGAGCCACATAACAGATATAGGTAGCTAATAGCACAGTGCACAGCACTATCAATAGATCTACTAGCTTTATGTCCTATAAATCTACCAGACTCTACCTTCTATATACACAAACTAGTAGTGACTGAGTGACTGACTGCACTGTTCCCATTTAATTCAGACCAATAAACCAATACTAAACATAAACTGAATAAAAAATAAAAAAAATCAAAAAAATTGAAAAAATCAAAAAATCATGATTTTTTTATAAAAAATCAAGTGATTTAATCACATTATTTAATCATTTTGATTTAATCATTGCCAACCCTGATTAGTTCAACAATGCTAACCAATTTTCAGACCTTCTCATTTCAATCTTGATTTCTGATAATTTCATATACGAGTTGAAAAAGAACTTTTCTAAAAAATGAGCATGAAAAATTGAGAAAAGGTAGATAGAATATAACTCATAAAATTGTAAATAAAACTATAGAAGATGAAAGCTTAGTAGCATCCAAATGCAATACACGTTTCAGATAGAGCAGTATTGCGTTACAAAATTGCAGGCTTTCTTCCACATTAGGCATATCTGTTAAGGTCTGCAGAAATGAAGCAGTAGCAAGGGCATTGCCTAATTAATATTGTCAATGATTAGAATAATACACGAGGCTAAAATTGCATAGATTTTGTCTGTGCCAGGCAGTGAGCAGAAGACATCACAGGACTATGATAGATCAGGGCAGTTTTATCAAAGGAGGAAAGCGTATACCTGAATCTTAAGATCCTTCAGACCTGAACCACAATTCCTTCAAGAAGAGGGGAGATTTCAAGAGAGAACTTTTGCAATATCTAACAGTAAACAAGGGAAAATATGAACAAATATATAACATTATAGGACAAAACTGACAGAGAACATCAAAAGTATTACTAACATTGCTGATCCATTCATTCTTTTTAAGAGCCCTTTTTCTCATTGCTGCCATGCGCTCCCTCCTTATCTTCTCCAGCTCATCCCCATCAAGATTGTCAAGACGTTCAATCTCAGCATCCACCTGGCTCTCAATGATCTGCACAAAAATGCAATTGATATGAGTATCAACAACTTATGGCATTGTCTAGAGTAAAATTATTCATGGCCAACTCAGCTACAGCTGTAATGGAATATTGTGGGTGTAAATTCATAAATAGAGTGCAAATTTGAAGAATTGGATGGTATTAAAATTTTACTCTGGAGAAAAAACTTTTACAAAAAGTTGTGGTTCAGTTATAAAGTAATTAACAATTATCATTGTCGTGTACAATTCAAGGGGAGCGTCAGCCAGAAATTTTATCTTGGCTATTTACAGACGGATCACTTTGAAACTTGGTACACATGTGTAAAACAGAAAAATAGAGAGCTTTTATTCATGTAAATTGAAAAAAAATTAAATAAAACATGAAATTCTTAGAAAACGGCCAAAAAAGGGGGTACTGTAGAAATCTATCTCCTCCTAGGATTTACAAGCTACAACATCAAGACACATATCATTTGATGGTAAAGACTACTATATCTATCAATTAGTCATAGCTTCTTTACTGAAATTTAAGTTTTTGTGGGTAGGAGGGGCTTTTTTTGTAAATTTTTTCAATAAATATTTCGATTCCCCCCCCCACATAGTACCATAGCCCCAGACAAACAACTTCATTAAAAACTACTTATAGTCATACATAATTTTGCCCACACATGAGAAAAAGCTCATGTGTTGACATGTCATGTGTAGTTACTGGGGCATTTTAATACAGCATTAACCCTTTAGCGGGCAAGCATTGAAATATCAAGAAATTAAAATTTCAGAAACCATTTCAAGAAAGTAAGAAGTATTATACAATATATTTATTTCTATGAATTTTTATATATAACATATTTTATGTCTGACAGCCTATTTATGTTTTTTCTTTATATTTCAGACTCTACAGTCTTATATATGGTAATTTTAACTTAATTTCCAAGCTAGTCAATATTACCCATCAGGGCTGCCATTAGGTAGTCACATTTCCCTCATTATGGGGCAGCACCCCCCATTTGCAAACTATGACACTTTCCTCAAGTTTGTCATTTGCATATGTAACTAGAAGAGTTCTACTACAATGCACCAAAACCTGGAGTTATTTGGAGTTATTTTACCAAAAAATATAATTGATTTTACCACCTGGTCAAAGTTACCCCAAGAGCTGGGGTAACAAAGACCATCACTTTTTTTAAAATTACATAAAGACTATGAGAGGCAGGAGCCAGCAATTTATGGTAAGTGAAGCTAGAGTATAGACCTGTATTTTGCATGTTTCAATTCAAGTTTAATTTAGCTAGTAAAAAATGGCATCATTTATAAAAAAAAATTGGTCTAAGTTAACCCATTTTACGGTATTTGTTTTAAGATTTTTTACATATATATAAATTCAAGATGTCTTGTCGTAATCAGTGGTAAAATTGATACCAAATATGAAATTGTACAGTAACTTATTTGAGCTTCAAATTTTCAAACACAGAATTGGGAAGATTTAATAGAGGCCTTGTTTATTGAAACCCGAGAAATGTGAGAAGCAATACAAAGAAACTGGGTGTGTTCACTGTGTTGATGGGTGGAACTGTTCAACCCAGTCCCAGTTCCACCAAGAATCATACTCTATGAATAAGTACCTACACATCATACATAGTAGAAAAAATTTTGAATTGTGTGTGGAAAAATCTTCATCGTCTACCAGCCCCAGCCACAAGAATGGGCTTTTTCTGTTTCATTCAATGTTGGCTTCTGCCCAATATTCTAGTTTTGAAAAGTATATACCTATACAGAATTTACACGTTAATGTGTTATTTGTGTAGGCCTACATTACATTTATATATAAAATTATATATATATGCCATAACTGAAGACTGTCTGAAGTTTGAATGTCTAAACTTTGAATTTTTTATTATGAATGATTGAATATTTGAATATTATGAATGTTTGAAATGAATTCATAATATTGCCAAGTAAGTACTTAGCTAGTTATAAATGATTGGATCAGTGAGGCCAGGCCGCCAGGGTCCACTGTCCACTGTGTCCAGGGACAGCTAAAAATTTCTTGGTTTCATTTTTATGGATAATTGAAAAAACATTTTAAAAATAATTAGCCATAAAAATATTTTTCTGGCTAGGCCTTAATCTGAAAACAATAGGTCAACTTACCTGAGAAGCCATTGCAAGCTGTTGCCCTAACATGTCAGATGTCACATTGGCCATTTTCACAGATAAATAATAAAATTTAGGCTTCTAGGACAGAACACTATTGTCAATTTCTGAAAAAAAAGATTAAACAATCTCTCATTAACACAAAAAAATTAATCTATCTTTCGCGGTTGCACCGTTGCGGTTAGCCCTCCCTCTCATGAACTTTTCCAGCAGCCCACCCACATCTCATGAACTTTTCCACTTTCCAGCAGCCCTCCCACAGTGAGTCCCACTGTCCCACTCAATACACTCATGAGTCATGACTTTCAAGTTGCAACATTCCTACCTATTCAAGAATTTTTAAATGACCAGCTGGTGAGCTAAAGCTGACTCAGCTGAGTTTTTCACAGTTTAGTTTTAAACTAGCCTAACATAAGTTGTGTCTACAGTCTAACCCTAATCGAGTTCTAAAAGTTCATACCTATGTTGGCTATGTACCTACAATTAGTCAATAACATGATTAGCCATTTAGCCTATTTATTCTCTGCTCGTATACTGGCATTGTAAAAAAATGTTACTTTAACCCTAACAATTCGGCATTACACCATTACCTCTTTCGAAATTACTTTTGTTAGTTTTGTATACGTTTAAAGGTCTCTGATCAGTTATGAGTCACGGTGTTGCGGGAAAGGTTGTGCCAAATTAGCAGCCAAAAGCGAGTAGAAAAAAAGTGACAAGATTATTCAACTGAAGCATGATTTATCACTACTTAGAAGCTTTGAATGCAAAGCGAATAATCTTGGCAAGTTCTTCTGCGAGGAGAAAAGAAATACTAGACACGCTGGTAAGATAAAAATAACTAGCCTATAAACGAACTTTAGGAACATTTAGGTACCTAGCCTCCTAGGTAGTATACACAACACGTGTTGTTTCGAGTTTGCACCAAACTTCCTTTTTTATCTGCACAGGTCCGTTAATTAGGTATGCTAGTACGGTCACGATCATGAAAAAATGACCCGGTTATCTAAATTAAATTTTGAATTTAGGCATTTAATTCTGACCTACCCATGACCAAGTTTACAATCCATCAGCCTATATAGTTCAACTGTCAAATGACCTCATAAGTCACAACTCAGCAATACCAATCCACCTTTGTCAGTTACTAAGTTAACCATACATTTTTCTGTGGTTTATGAATCGAAAATAAAAATAAATTATACGGCAAGAATTTTATATGGTGCTCTATAATATGTGTTTGAAATGTTTTATTTTCGTTTTTGAAGTCATAGCCTACTAGTTTTTCTTGCATTGCATATAAATCAATAAATGCACTTCATCAATCAGATTCTTTCAATTCAAATGTTAATTAATTTGATAGTTTTGCTCTATATAGATTGCTCGCAATAAGTATTATGCATGCATATGTGCTATGGCTATCTAACTAATTAATAATTTTTACAGGGCTTGAAATTTGAAATACTTGTACCAAAATTTGCCGAAAATTTGAATCAAGACAGCTTTGAGCATCCGAAAGACTATGTTGTGGCTACAGCAACCGCTAAGGCTGATGAGGTTAGTATGATTACATTTTATGAGCGGAAAACTATTTCAAATGACGAGGTGCCAGTAAATATATTTCGAAGGTGCGACTGTACACGATGTACAGATAGAAGTGAGAAAGTGTTATCGTAATACCACTCGTAGACCTTCGGTCGATCTATGATTCAATGTTCATCCAAAAATATTCTTTCATTCAATCTCTTTCGCTCGTAACCTAAGTATCGGTTAGTAATCCGTACATCTAAACCGCATGTAAATTTTGTGCTTCGCCCCTTAATATCACAATAGCAATTCAGCTGCTATGTTGCTTGATACTATCTCTAAAGTAAACTGTTAAAAAAAATGACCACCATTTTCAGTAAACATACACAATTTCCGAGTAAAATTTTGTAAGAGACATAATCTTTAAGAAAATAGGCTGTGATTTTTTCTGGTATAAGTTACTAACGACCGATTAGCTATTTGCACCGAAACAATTACTAATTAGAATGTTAGCTCCATTGTCACGCTTATGGTGATGTGATATATGATTATTGTAGGTTATGTGGTAGAAGAGCTAGTGATGAGAATCGCCGGTTCCTTCACTGAGTAAAGGGAACCCAAATAAACTAAGGAGGGCTAGAGGGAGATGTTTGCGTTGTCTGGATTATTTACGGAGAGAGAAGGCGATAAAAGTGGCACAAAAAATACAAAGGTAGACTGTAGAGAACAGATGAGCATCACATAAGAAACTTTAAATTAAAAAAAACGGTCAGCAAATAGGAACGCAAGTGTCAGGATTTGGAACAAAAGTGTGACATGCAGGATGCACGTGACTGGATGGCAGTTGGTAGAAAATAATGAAATGCGAATAGACTTGGACGAAAAAATAGAAAAAGAGTGTAATGCACAATTAAACGATATAGTTAGATTACTTATGCCAACTATGCGGCAGGGTGGCCCAGTGGTTACAGTTCAGAGTACCATGATTGGAGCAGAGAGGCGCCGGTTCGATCCCAGCTCTGTGCGCCAGTTTGGTCAGGAGGCCGGGCGGTTAAGCACAGCAGAATTTGAAGCAGTGCGTTGTGAGTTCGAGACCGCGACAAGCTGTGGATGATCTGCGATGTTAAGAATTGGCGACAGGCCTATGGCCTAATAAACGCTGAAACCGCTATTATTCATTATAATATGAAATGCGAGATGAATGGTGCACTCTTAATGTCTGTGACGTATTTAGCATACCAACAGGACACTTCGTAGTGCATAGTGCTACTTCGTAGTGCTAGTGCCCTATTTAGCATACGGGCCATAGTTAGATTACTTATGCCAACTATGCGGCAGGGTGGCCCAGTGGTTACAGTTCAAAGTACCATGATTGGAGCAGAGAGGCGCCGGTTCGATCCCAGCTCTGTGCGCCAGTTTGGTCAGAATCGGCAAGGAGGCCGGGCGGTTAAGCACAGCAGAATTTGAAGCAGTGCGTTGTGAGTTCGAGACCGCGACAAGCTGTGGATGACCTGCGATGTTAAGAATTGGCGACAGGCCTATGGCCTAATAAACGCTGAAACCGCTATTATTCATTATAATATGAAATGCGAGATGAATGGTGCACTAATTATGAACTAAGTGCCTGAACGTGACGGACAATTTCTGAACTGAGGGCAAATGTCGATATCTGTTGTTTTTTTATCTATTTTGAATGATCGTAGTATGGTTCGAATATACGCGCGGAATGAAATGGGTGTAGATGAGTTCTTTTAAGTTTTGTGTTTTGGGGGTGTGAAAGAAACTGTGGGACTCCTGAAGATAAAGCTAAATACATACGAGAGAAAAATAGTGAAGATGCTGCAGGTGATGGTGGTGAGAGGTGACGGTATAGGGACGATGCGTTGATTTAAAGTTATAATAATAATAGCGGATTTTGCGCTTATTTGTCCGCAGGCATGCCGCCGATTCAACATCGCGGAACATTAACAGCATGTTGCAGCCTCAAGCACGCAACTCATTGCTCCAGTTCTGCAGTGCCTAAAGTTCGCGGCATGCTTAATGTTTAAATTTACAGGTTCGAAAGCGGCTGAGTTCTCAAGATCAAGTTGGTGGCGCGCCTGACTTGATCGTAGCGTGCGACACGTGCGTGACGCTGGACGGCAAGATCTACGGCAAGCCAATAGACGACGACCACGCGGCTCAGATGCTCACCATGTGAGTTGACAGCTCAAGTACAGGGTTCATGGAGGGTAGACTCGTTGCGTCTCGGGATATTTTCCTCGAAATGAACCGGGACAATTAGATGAGAAATTTCCAGGGAAAAAAATTACGGGGCAGAGGGAAAAAAATGTGAAATAACGGTATGAAACGCTGAAGTGCTCAAAGGCTGAAGAAACATAAAGCCGGCTAGCTATAACAGAGACTATGATGTGTCAAAAGACGAACTTGAGAACACGTGCAGTGAAGATGATGATTCATTTAATTTTAATATCCGAGACCCACATGAAAATAGTATATGAATGCGTAGTAAATTATGATGTCAGTTAACCAAACTCTAAAGCCAAAGTTTTCGCCCAAGCCAAGCATTGAAGAAAGTCGTGCCATCACCAGTATTAGCCTACTAGGTACTGCAAATGAGAGTAACCTTTACTAACCTAGTAGAGAGCGCATCACTTTCTGCTTTCTGGAACTTGTTCTTCTGGCCTCTCGTTCATTCAGTTTTAATCGAAGATTGTTAAAAAGAAGAAGCATAATTGTTTCTCTGGCAGATGCTTGTTTCGTAAAAAAAACTTGTTGGATGGAAGCAGGCTCTTAAAACGGGCATTAACTGGACGCTACTCGCTATTAACCCCATAGGCAGACATTTGCCAGATCTACTTGCCGCCTGTACTGTCCCCGTGTACAAGCACCTTAATTAAAGCAGGTAGTTCTCTTGTACACGAGGCCTCTAGCCTGACAATTCGGGACGATTAGTGCTGACCGTAGTTTAATTTTAAAACGAATCAAAGCAAAATTTTGCGTCGATTCCAACCGCGGAGTCTAGCTATCGAGTAAATGTTTTACATTAGGAAACGAAATGACATAAAAATCTATAATAATTCCTCCCGCTGCGCATTTCTAACAGTTACTTATGTTTTCAAGCTACTAGACTTCCACTGGATTCGATGTGGTGTTAGGCATTTCAAGTCTATACATTTTTTTCATAGCTTTATCTAGTCTGTTCTTGAACGCGTTTTTACTCGGAGCATCAAACGATGTAATCGAGGAGGCGGTTCCACATGTCGGTGTTTCGAAGCGAGAAGAAATGTCGCGAGGATGAGATGCAACGCAGTTTTTTTAGTTTATAGTCGTGGTACCTGGTGTTGGTTCTTGTTTTAAATTCTAGTAATCCTTCTGGGAGCTTGTATTAACCATGAGTATACTTGTATACTTCAATGAGGTCCCCACGCAGACGTCGATAACATGGGCTTGGAAGTTTCGTAATCTTTAATCTTTCATGTCTGCGAGTTACCTTGTGTGTGGTACAGTTACTTGGCCCTTAGATTTTTAATGAGAAAAATGCTTCGCAATTGTGTTCTAATTTGATTCCTGAAGGCTAACTGCATGCTTCACAAAGGTGGAGCGGACGCACACAAGAAGTTATAAGTGGTGTGTGTCTGACGCATCGCCTCAGTGCCGACCGCCAGTGGCGGAGTAATACCTTCAGCGAGACGACCAGCGTCAAATTTCATACGCTGCAACAAGACGCCATCGCGGCGTACGTGCGTAGTGGTGAGCCAAGGTAAGTGCACGTAGCGGTGAGATTTGCTTTAAAACTGGAATCAGATTCATATATGCTTTTGAACTGATCCTCGAAACCGATCCTAATTGAGATTTTCCTCAATTCCCACTTATTCCCTTTACTTGGGCTAATGCTATAACTCCAGTTTTAACTCAAATGCTCGTCGATTCAACAGCCGTATGACACGACTTAGATTTCCTTTGAACTCTTTATACCCGTACCACCTCACCAGTCGCTGTACTAACATCTCCTGAATGGCAATAATGTTGAGAACTATTAGAAAGATTTGAAGAGTTTACTTTGAGCAATCCTACTCAGTCCTCTCATTACTGAAACTAGTCTACGTCAACAGGGGCAAGGCGGGCGCCTATGGTATCCAAGGACCAGGAGGTGCGATGATAGAGGGCATTGTTGGTGACTACTACAACGTTGTTGGTTTCCCGCTTCACCATTTCTGCAAAGTTCTCCTACCACTTCTTCAGAGTAGTGAATGAATAACCCATTTAAAATGGTTCCTACTTAAAATCCTCATGAAAGATTAATAGTTACATTAAAAGTAAAAATTGTATCCAGATGGATTCCTCATTAAATGCAGGTTCAAATGCTAGTAATTGAACTTTAAAAACTGGTTAATTTCGATTGAATGTTTTATTGCTCCCTATATCTTAGGTAATATATAAACCACAACCGTTTTTATGAACGGGCTAAAAAAAGTATACGACGGACGATTTAACAGAGTATATTGAAATATTAACATATTGATCACGAGCATTGGAATAAAATGACAGGTGAGTAAAACTGCAGTAATGGCACGGTACTATTATTAAGAGTCGCACATGAAGCCAGGATTACTAAGAGGAAAATGCAGTGTGTCATGCTACTATTCACACACCAAAAAAAAGCAATGACTACTTTACTTTCCATAACTTCATTGTTGGAACTAACATAATACATCACCGATAAACACAAAACGTAAACACACACACGACTTACATGTACCAACATAACAACATTCAAATTCACAAACATATGAATAAAAAAAAAGAATTTTCACATTCTGAATCTGCAAAAGTTTCATTGATTCAACAAAAGCCTGACCGCATGGTGAGGCGAAATTATGATGCCACTACACACATCCTAAAACTCTTGCGATCATAATCCAATGTTGATGGATAAACATCACAAACATATTGGAAGATTCGATCTTCATAAAGTTTATGAAATCCTGATTCTTTGTCACCAAGCGGTAGATTGTCTCATGTGGCCAGAGCGCTCATCTTCAGAGAGCTTTAATTAAGGAGCTTACTTTTATTGTTACTGACAGAATTACGCACGATTCAATCTCATTGTGAGTGGAATAAAATAGCGGTGTAAACAACGCGGCTGAAGGTATTAGGATCTGATTTTGCTAGGCCTCAATGGAACGGAAAAACAAATGTAAATTAGTGGCATGTATTTACGTATCTGTAGGCTATATCGCTTCACGTTCGCCTCTGGCAGTGAAATTAACATAATTGACCAAACAAAGTCCTGTAATCCAATGTTGATGGATAAACATCACAAACATAATGGAATATTCGATCTTCATGAAGTTGTTTATGAAATCCTGATTCTTTGCCATCAAGCGGTAGATTGTCTCATATGGCCAGAGCGCTCACCTTCAGAGAGCGCTCGCCCTTGACTTCAGAGATGGAATCTAAATCCAGTAACTGCTTAAATTATGGAGCTTACTTTTACTGTTACTGACGAAACTACGCACGATTTAATCTCATTTGTGAGTGAAATAAAATAGCTGTGTAAACAACGCGGCTGATGGTATTAGGATCTGATTTTGATAGTCCTCAATGGAACGGAAAAACAAATTTTAATTAGTGGCATGTATTTACGTATCTGTAGGCTATATCGCTTCACGTTCGCCTCTGGCAGTGAAATTATCCTAATTGACCAAACAAAGTCCTGCATAAATTACCGTTATTACTACATTCCCTCTTCGTAGGTTGCAATATTAACAAGAAGAATAATTAATTGTAAATTTTTACTAAGTTACAACGAAATTCTTTGGCATTAATATAATGAAGGAAACGAAAGGTCGTTAGTTCACACATTTTCAGGTCATGAAAACAATTCGATTAAATGTGAACAAATTTCGACTAATTACGTACAAGAAAAATTAATTAAATAGCTACTCTGCAAAAGTTTTTTAATAGTTCTTACCGTTAATCGGTTAATGATACTCGAAATGTCGCTGTACTCGCTGCCGGCCAATAGAAGCGTTTAAGCGAAAATTCATTTTATTTTTTACTTTTTAAAATTCAATAAAAAAGTACCGCCATTATAAATTTTTGCCAAGTCAACGCAATTTAGGATACTAAATGGTGGAAATTGTCTGAAAAAGGCCCTGCAAGCCACCGGTGGGTTGCAGAGCACTAACTTCAAACTTGTTAACCTTACCAAGTTAACCCGCCCAAAAAGTATCACACAATATGAGGTGTTAACGTATCACTCAGGAAATTTAATGAGTCATGTTGGTGACACTTTATGCACGTATCACTGATACGCCCTTGTCCGCGGTAAACAGGGTTAAGATGACCGGCCCGATGAAAAAAAGAGCATCGCTATTTGACCATGACTGACTCATTTCTTTGAGTGTAGGCCCACTCGGGTCGCACGGCACAACGCACTAAAGACGTCACACCCACGCGACGGGTGGGGTGAGATTCAACTGACGTTTCTTTGCGTCTACATCATCTCTACCATGGTTGAACTAGAATAAGGTTAACCCATGGTTGTACTAGTATAAGGTTGACCCATCAGAAGCCCATTTTTGCGGATGTAGTTTGTTCTTCGCCTGTGACGTCACTGATCTCAGTGACGTCACAGGCATTAACCATTCACCGAAATGCAATCAAACCAGTCAACCAATCCGTCATGAGAATGATGGGATTATTTACGTTTCTCGAACTCAGTGACAAGAAGGAAGCTGAACTGAAAGACGGAAATCCTAGCGGGTCAACCTTATATAGTTCAACCATGATCTCTACGGCCTCGGCTCGTACTTAATTTGACATCAACACCCACAACTAGAATTATTGAAAAGTTTAACAGGAGAATAAAAATATATATTTATATATAGATCGATTCACGTTTCTTTACATTAGCATAAAATAACCTAAGGAAGAAAGACACACACGAGGAAAAGATTTTAAAGGCAAGTTTTGGATTTTCATAAGAGTGAACCAAAACTTAAGATAGTTTGTGTCGGCATTAGCAGCAATTGTTCCACACAATTCCTGGGACATTTTACAGTTACTTACCCGTGATCCTAAAATATCTTCTAAACTTGTGGTTACATTTTAATAAAACTTCTCACAGAGACTCTTGTAGTCATTCAGCTCGTATTCATGTTGTGAGATATTCCTTAATTCACCAGTAATACGGCTATACGGATAGCAGGTTGACAAAAAATATGTGAATATCGCCGCGAACCTCATACATCTCCCCCAGGTCAATGATATAGTCCGTTGAAACACAAAAATTCAAACAAACTTAACCCTTTTTTGACTAGTTGTCAGATCTTGCATTCCAGGGGTTACAGACCTAGTAAAATAATGTACGCGGTTTTTTTTTTTTGGGGGGGGGGGTTTAACTTAAGAGTTTTAATTTAAATGCCTAGTGACCTGTAGCTAGCTAATCACGCTAATTAAATCACGTCAATCAAATCACAGATCACGCTAATTAAATCGGAGTTTAGGTACCGGTAATGAGATTTTGTTTGTGAGGAATTTAGTCGTCAATGAGTGGCCGTATAACTTGCGAAAATAGTGACAATAGTTATGATCTCTGGAACATAGAAACATAAGGAAGTTTTCAAGAGCTTTAGCGTGAAGTTTCATTGCAATCGCTTCCAATTTAGGAGGTATTTTGGGCTCACGGTCTTAAGATAACGTGTCCGTAGAAATAACAGCGTGAACGTCAGTCGGTCACGAATAATCTTTTTCTTTTCTAGTTACTAAATTACAAGAAATGCAATAAATCCCTTCGAACAAAAAATTTTTTGGAACTGGCAATTTTCGTCACATTAATTTTATTGCGTTGCTTCGTCCAATTTAAAATTTTTATTGTTATGATGGCCAATTTTTTTTCGAAATGGCATTTCAAGTTCAGCAATTTTAAGGCCCTGCCAGTGAAGCTACGTTTTCTATGATTCACAATCGTGCTACAAATAAACAGCAAAACGAACGCCAGATTAGGAGGATGAATCAAAGTTGTGAACGCCCGAAATTAAGTTTAACCTAATTTAATATATTTTTTCTTTGGTATGTAGTGGAAAAACAGGACGCATCTCATGTTTCGGTATGGGCAATCTTCTCGATGGCGCTACCGCAGGGCACTATTTAATAAAATTGTTCAGATGAATTCATTAATTTCAGCGATTCTCCACTTTAGTTCATTCGGATACTACGTCTCGTGCACGTACGGACTATAGCTGATGAACCCTTACCGGAAATGGGTGGATAGCTAGAGGTCAGCATATCCCAAGTCCACAGTGCGACTCAAATACCTTCCCGAGCGTAACGCAGCCGGGCATCTTCACGGCTTTTGACACAAAGCGCCCACCACAACAGCGCCGTTCAGTCACTAGTTCACAGCGCCGGAGCGCAACAGGCCCTACCGCAACAGCTACTCCTAACGTAACGTAACCTAACCTAACCTGCGCCGTCTATTGCGCTCCGGCCAGTTGGGCTCCGGCGCTGTGGAGCAGTGGCTGTGTTGTGCAAAGCGGATTTACTGTTAGCCGGAGTTACCCACAGCTCATTGATCTGAGGCTATGTGTAGATATTGCATGCTGATGGTTGGCGTTTTGCCAAGGGCCTGTTTACGAGTCAATTTTGTTACCCACGGCTGCGCTCCCCCGGAAATAAACAAAAGTACAAATAAAATTAATATCAGATTCTCTAAGTTAGCATTTACAGTCAAAGAAGGAAATAACATCCACTGAAACGTTTAAGCTCTAGTAATAGCCAAAATTTTAATCCATAATGAAAAGCAAAAATATATATTTTTAAATGAAAGTACGATCGGAGAAGTATCAAGTATAAGTATATACTGAATTACCTCTTTATTTCACAGGCCGAAAATTTACTATAGAGTGCAAGCATTTTTGAATCACTCTTTCACGTCACGTAATGTCACAGGAATCGTAGGTTTCGTTCATAACATTCAATTGTGGGCTCATGAATGAAGAACGTCAGCGTACGTCTACTGACCTCCAGTTACGTCACTCGTGCATGCAAATATTTCATGTCGTCAGCAATTTATTGTCAAAATCGTGAACAATAAAACCTCTAAAATTCACTGAGTGTTCACAAAGTATCAGCGAATGAATTTCGGTAGCTATTATTGCAACTATGTTATTATATTCCAACTGTACGAATAATTGTGTACAAAGGTGTTGGGGAATTTCTGCATGTCAAAAATTGTTAATTAAATTTTGTTGCGAAAATGTACTCTTATTTTCCCGATTACATGCTGCTTAGTTCAATCAAATTTTAGGCTAATATATTCTTCAAGTTTCGAGTTATTGAAGAGAACATTGAATAGAAAGAAATGTACGAATAATTCCGTCGCTAAGAATTAGTGCAGCGCACTGTAATGCGTGCGTTAGTGTGCTGCACTAATGAAAGAAGTGAGAAGTATTGAAGATCCTAGAATAGATCTTTCGAAAAAACAATTCAACCACCGTCAATAACACACGAGTGGCTACCAAACTTCAAGTTGCCAACCCACAATAGATACGAAGCATTTTGACAGCAAGGTTGAAATAAGTTCATTTTAAACCTGTAGCCAGCTGCACGATAAAAATGAATTGCTGATTATAAAAATCTGTTACTTGTTATATTTATAAATACATTTTTTGGTTTCCTAAGCGGGCGAGTCAAGTGTGGTAAAAAAATGTAACTCAGTACTCACTGCAGTGAGTGACAAGAGAGCGCATTTTCTCGTCGACGAAAACTTGAGGTCACGGACGGACGGACAGACGGACGGACAGGCAGACAGACGGACATGGCGAGCACAATAGTGCATTTTTTCCATAAATGAGAAAATGCGCTAAAAACTGGCGACTTAACAATCAATGATTGTGGTTGAAAATTAGAAGACAAGCCTACGAGCGCAGTGAAGCCCACAGACCAGAAAAAGGCGAGATATTGAAACTAACAATAAACGGCGTATCCATTTGAATAATATTATTAAAATGAATCATATTATTCACTTTTCACACCATGGTTGTTAGAATGAACACATTCATTGGATAAGAACTATCAAGAAGGCTCCTCTATAATTCGAACACAGTTTCGACAGAACGAAAATATCCGCAAGTATTGTTGCATAAAAGGTGAATTTCAAAACTGTTACACATACTGTTCTAAGAACCTGATAATATTTCGAGATATTTAGTGAAGTAATAATGTAACGTGAAATAAGTTACTGGATGCGGAGCAGAGCAAAATAAGGTACAGAGTTGCGACCTGCAACTTTTTGGGTGAGCGATACAAGCCACGAGTGATTGTAAGGCTAACGTGAAAATTAATTCAAATAATAAATGGGTTTACAATTAGTAGTGACATCCATATCCAATGAATAAGGCTGACACTGGTGCGTAATAAATAACGCAATAAAATGAAATGTTCAAAGGAAGACATAAGTTGATCACAACACCAGAACAAAGCGAGGAGAGATCAAACACTGTAACAAGTTAAAGCTAAGGCTCTTAGATATCATCACTTTGAGCAAGTAGCGTAAAGATACGAGTACAAAATAACAGTACTTTCTTCAACACCTGAGGTAAAGAGTTCTGATACGTCAAAGTTATTGCAGATTTTAATTACTGTGTTCGAGTTCTCAACGTTGGCAGGGCTACATTAATATATATCTGGTAAAGTTTATATCTTCGCTTCTACGCGGTGCGTCGTAGGGTGGAAGAGTGCACAAGGGGAGATTATTTACAGCTAGCTATTTAAGTAGAAGTAGATGAAATTAGAATGGAATTTTTAGAGATTATTAAAAGTGAAGAGTAAAAGAGGCTTTGAAAAAATTCACGTCATCCGAGGAAAAACCAGCGAAAAATTTCTGTACGAGTCCTGACGAGAATATTACAGGTGAACTTTATGCTTTATTCAAAGAGATTTTTCATTTTTTTTAGAAATTTGAAGATCCTAAAAAATATTAGGAACTAATTATGAAATAAGAAAGCTAGGACCACCCGAGTGCGAGATAGTTTTAGCTAGATGTGCCTCCATAACAAATAATTCCTAGAAAATGATCATCATTACAATCTTTCGGCCGGGAAACATTTTATTAAACATTATATAACGTATTAAACATTATGTAATGTATTAAGCATTATGTAACGTATTAAACATTATATAACGTATTAAACATTATATAATGTATTAAACATTATATAACGTATTAAACATTATATAATGTATTAAACATTATATAACGTATTAAACATTATATAACGTATTAAACATTATATAATGTATTTAACATTATATAATGTATTAAACATTTTATAACGTATTAAACATTAAATAATGTATTAAACATTATATAATGAATTAAACATTATATAATGTATTGCGACGGTATATACCCACGTTAACACACGGTTGTCCCATAACTACTTACTCCGCGACCACTAAGACAGTGTTCATGGTAGCATACGGTCGTTATAGTAGTATAATTACACCTCATTTTGCCATCTACTTACACTTCTCTTCGAATCTTTATCCTAAGCACCGACGTCCATGATAATCCCAGCTAAGCGAATGTAAGTTCAGAAGCTCGTCTTCTGGGTGGTGGATACAAGGGAAAAGAGGAACATGACGGCGACACGATTGCTGTTCAGCTGATCGTTATTGACATACTCATTCAGGAAGAATGGCATCCGGCTTATAAATGTTGAATATAGGTTTGAATTCACCAAGAAAATTATTCCGTATTTACCTCTTCAGAGCTGAAGACAATTCTCATCCTGGTAGTTATGACATAAGTACCAATGAACATTATTAAGGTCCCAAAATAAGTGAATATAACAAGCCTCGTTCATTGAAAACCCAGACGCCATGACACCATTGGCTGGAGCTTAAATGAATAGAGCCTGAATAATAATGACCCACTGAGATGAAAAGCGATTGTCTCTTCCTTGGCCGGAATTTCTTAGATTAAAATACAGAACATTGAAATTATTTGTGCTAGGGTTAAAGAGAAGGGACATGAACTGAAGCACCGTGTTTCCATAGTCCTGATCGCATCCGAAGAATGAGAGATAATTTTTTATATATAGCCTAATAATGTTCATCGTAATTCTAACATTGCGTAAACTTGATAAATGCTCATCTATTAAATAAGATAATATTCTTGTCCTATAATTTTAAATAACTAATAATCTTAAATCGACACGATGAGGAAAAAACTGAGTACAATGGCTTGTACGTGCGTGTTCATTCTAAAGCACATCTTGTAGTTGGATAGGCAGCTTCGCGCCGCAACAGCTGGCGCTTGTGACCTCAACCAAGTTTTCATTGTTGAGAATTATTCATAACATCTCATATTGCATAAAATAATTGATACAACTGCGCATCTGAGATACTTATCAAAATACATTCGATACGGTGCACGAAGAACAGTAACTTAGGCATTCTAAATTTGGTTTGATAAAAAAATTCCTTTAAACATCATCAAACATAGGCTTTGAGTTCTCCTTGCAGGTTAGAATGGTTTCTTTGGAAGCGAAATCTCCAATCTTGGAGCCCAGATGAGAGGAGCTGCCGTCGATAAGGGAGGTAGCGGTGGACTTCTTGAGGTCGCTGGAAGACTTGAATAAAGGGATGAGGAAGAGCATCAGGCCGCTCAAGATGATGAACACTCCAGACACGACGAAAGGCAGGACGTAGTCGTCGGAGTAGTCGCGCATGAGACCTGGAACATGCGACAGCTCAAGCGTGACCCGCAACAGGCAATCTGCTATAAACTAAAATCTATACTAATAATTCAGCTATAAAATGAAATATATAATAACTTTTTTTATAAAAGGTTATTATAAAAGGTTATAAAATGAAATCTATACTAATTCTGCTATAAACTAAAATCTACAATAATAAATCATAATAATTCTATATAAAAAAATGGTGCTGGCATCATTGGATGGTGCATTACTCACCAACAAGAGGCGGACCGAAGAGGTTGGCGAGGCCTTGCGTCAGCAGCAAGAAGCCGTAAGCGTTGGTGAAGCAGTCCAGGCTGATGAGGTCGACGAGGATGACGGAAGTCAAGGCGTAGTTTGCAGATATGAAGAAACCGAACACGGCCGAGAGAACAGCTAGCGTCAGGAAGTGCGTTACCAAAGACATCATAATGATGGCCACGCCGCAGATCACCATTGATAAGTTGTATATTATCATCAGAGGATACCACTCTTTGTCTCCGATGTATCCCATGCCCACCTGCAAGATGCGGCGGGTTAATAACCACGTACATCGAAGGTCGACGAGTCAGAAGACGACTACGTCATCGATACGGGAAGTATTTTTCGACCAATTCATAAGAGGACTTCGAGCTCAAGTTTATCATTACATGGAATATAATTTTGAAGAAAAAATATGAGGTACGGTCCAAGTTCGCGTTACGAAAGATTTTATCTAGAAAAGGACGTAGTCATAAATTTTAAACCATAAATTTAAATTGAAATGAATCAGGGTTCGGTTGTATATATTGAATGTTTTATCAATGCTGGCATCAAGTCACCCACTAGTCTGATGCAGTTGAGGAACTCCAGCATCAAGTCACCCACTAGTCTGATGCAGTTGAGGAACTCCAGCATCAAGTCACCCACTAGTCTGATGCAGCTGAGGCACTCCAGCATCAAGTCACCCACTAGTCTGATGGAGTTGAGGAACTCCAGCATCAAGTCACCCACCATTCCGATGCAGTTGAGGATGCCGATGATGGAGATGAGGCTGGCACTGCGGTCCTGATGTAGGCCGTTCTCAATGGCGTAGTCGACGAGGTACATGTAGACGGTGTCGTAGAACAGGTAAAGGATGAAATTCGACAGCGAGAATATTATGTAGCCGGGGTCGGAGCAGTATGGTAATTTTGTGCAGTCTTTGAGCACGTCTTTCAGGTTGCGCAGCTTCTGGTGAGAGAAATACTGGAACGATAAGACGGAAGTGAATTAAGGTAATCTAAATAAATATACAATAACATATTATTGAAGTATAAAATCACAGTGCAACCTGCTTTTAATGCTAAAATTTACGGACTAAGATGAATTTTGTACAAGGGTCTTGTGCGAAGTTAGCTTTCATGTTGACGGTAATGCAAAGTAGAAGATACTAGAAACGTTCATTGTGTAGTAGAAAGTTAAGTAAAGCATAACATGAAACATTACAGCATAGTACAGCACATTAACGCAATGCAAACTACAGCATTAAATAGCCCAGAACAGCACAGCCCACTAGACTGACTAGAGCACCGACAACACAGTACACTACATCTTTGCACAGCACAGCACAGTATGACACGTCACAGTAGAGTACAAATTAATCTAAATCTAAGAGTACAAATCAGATCTAAAGAGTAAAGCAGATCTAAAGAGTACAGCACAGCACAGCACAACACAGTAGAGCACAGCATAGCACAGTACAACACAGTAGAGGAGAGTACACTAAATCACACTAGAGCACAGCATAGCACAGTGTAACACAGTAGAGGAGAGCACAGTACAACAAAATAGATCACAACATAGTTCATTACAACACAAAAGAGAAGAGCACAGTACAACACAATAGAGCACATCATAGTACAGTACAACACATTATGTACAAAGTAACCCATCATAGCACAAAATTGCACATCACAGCACATCACATCACACAACCCTGCGAACTTGACTCACCTTCTCAGAGGAGTGGTCGATGGTGACCCTCGTGGTCCTGTAGATGTCGGGGCAGGAGGAGGACCGAGCCTTGTAGCGGTCAATGTGGAGCATCGCGCCTCTGAATGTCATCGACTGTCTGCAACGTAGCCATCCATTAATACAGAGGTTATAATAAATATAACTCAGTACTCACTGCAGTGAGTGACAGAGAGCGCATTTTCTCGTCGACGAAAACGTGAAGTAACGGACAGACAGACGGACGGACGGACAGACGGACAGACGGACGGATATGGCGAGCACAATAGTGCATTTTTTCCATAAATGAGAAAATGCGCTAAAAACTGGTAACCCTATTAATGTAAATTATCTAGTGTAATGCAGGAATGACAGTTTAAATGTGTTAAATTCATTTCAATGATAGGAATATTCGTGAAGAAGGTGACATGTTTATGCTATGTGGAATGTCAAATTGGGTAAAATCGAGAAAACAATACCTGCTATTATTGGAAAAATGTTACCCACCTGGCATTTCTGTTGTGCTGGGGGACGGGTGTGGCCAGCGGGGGGCGGCAGCGGCCGTCTTCCGTCGCCCCCACCGCAATACTCGCCCGCCGGTCGACAGCGTCGTGCAGCGCCGTGCGTTTCTCAGGAGAGAGAGAACCTTTGCGGCTGCTGGTGATGGGCAGGTCCGCGTGACGAGGACGTGACTTGTTCCTCGCAGGCGATGTTTGGGGCGCGCCAGGCGGACTCTTGGTCACGGAGTTGAAGACTGGGGCTGCGGGACTGCTTGCTGGCACCGAGACGGCCTGTAAGAGAAGAAATCGAAGCAAAAACATCAAAAAATGTACAGATTATAATATTCATATCTTCATTTGAGAGCATTTGGCACATTGTATTATTCACGCATTTGTCGTTGAATTGCTTTTCTTGATTATGACGTTCCGGGAAAACTCGATTATGACGTTTAGTTTGCGTATACGTTTATTTTGCCATAAGAAATAATATAATTTGAAATTCAAGGACATACTGTTAATGCTCAATATAAATTATACCATTTGTAAAAAATCACTCGATTTAAATTATATTAACATCTAATTACAAGAGAAATATTCTAAATACAATGTAAGAAATCTGTCCATCAAATTAAAGTTTGAATTAATGAAATCATAATGTTCCAAAAACATATGTCCACCAAGGTTCAATGCATCGATACGTACAAAGCTTATAGAAGAACTCCCCCGATTGACCAGTCGTCAGGTCAATCACTAATTTGCTGGGTGCTAATCACAAATTTGCTGAAAAATCAGTAATCATTAATTTGCAATAAGAACTCAGCCGAATGACTGGTAAATCATTAAATGACTTATAGAAGAACTCACCCGATTGACAGGAGGGAATGCGGTGGTGACTCTGTCGCGGCGCTCAGTCGGCACGTGTGCGACGTCCGAGTTGTTGGTGACGTTGAGGCGAGTGTCGGAGAGAATAGGAGGTAAAATGTCCATTTGCTCACTCAAGGAGGACGACAGCAGATGAGGGTACAGCTGAGAAATAACTTCGAAAGCATTTGCTCGCGAATTTAGACACGGGAAGAAATCAAGAGGAAGAGTTTGAGTTCTGTTGAGGAACGTTGGAAAAAGCAACATTGACGAGGATCGCGTGAATTTAGTGGGCGAGTTGCCAGGCGAGAGAAATTCAGTTATGTCGCCTGACTGAAGAATTTTTCTCAGTTCATTGATTGGAGGACACGAGTGACGAGAATCGCCCAGAACTTCATCATCACTTAGTGATTCCGATGAATGCGAAGATGAACCGTTTCGATGGTAAGCATTCTCTACATTAGAACGCTTAGATGCTTTCTTTTTTATCCACGGAAGCTCTCGCATAAGCGATCCGCATACGCACATGTTGAGAAAAACGCCCGCCAAAATTATGAGGCTACCACGCCAACCCCAATTCTCTATCAAATATTGAATGAAAGGAGCAAAAATAAAAGTTCCAATACCACTGCCGGCCACAGCGATACCAGTCGCCAGGGAACGTTTCTTCTCGAAATAGAAAGCGACGATCACAATTGCAGCCACGTAACAAACAGCTAAGCCTAGGCCAGTTATGAGCCCCAAGGTGATAAGTAAAACCAAAATAGAATTAGAAAAAGCACTAAGTAAGAAACCTACGGAAGCGATCACAGATCCGACGATTGTGACTTTACGGCACCCGAAGTGATCAGTAAGCAAAGATGCCAGAGGTCCAGCCAGAAGAGGAATAGCCATGAACAAACTCCCCACCCAAGAGGTGAAAGACTTGCTCTCCCTGAACACGTCTAAGAACTCGATGAAGAGAACGCCAAACGACATGGTAACGCCATCCGCAATGCAGTGCACGAAGAATGATGCTGCAACAACTACCCATCCCCATCCTCCATCTGGGGCTTTTCGGTGTAGTTCGCTGGCCTCGGACGTCCCGGATGCACTAGAACCAACACTAGTGGTACTAGAACCCGAAATGTGACGCTGGCGTTTTTTACGACGTCCTGAACTTGAAGTTCTATAAGCTGATCCTTCATTTCCAGCGGGCAATATTCCACTACGCATGACTCGCGCCCTTAGGAACTCAGTACTTTCGTCGAAGAGATCGTCTTGACTAGGAGTAGGTGTTTCAAACTGCACATGCGGACCGCTTGAAGTGCTGCCTCCTCCTTTAGCACCTCCTCTTAAGCAGCTCCCATTAGAGGACTTGAAGTGCACTGACCCAGAAGACTTATCGAGCAAGAAAGACGAAGAAGTGGGAATTTCTTGGTCAGATGCGTCAGGATCTGAATTTGCATCCAGATTATTGACCGTGTGCTGGTATTTGCAGACATCGCCGACAAAGTCAGGCGCACCCATGCCTGCCTTGACTAGAGGACAGTTCTCGTATTGCTCTTGACCAAACCTAAAATTTTGACCAAAACACGAATCCGATTCTGGTGTTATCCTCGCAGCCGACGATGAAACTTTCTCGCCCGTTTTGAAATCGGAATAACCATTAGCGTTTCGTTTCGTTTCTACGATAAGATCCTCAATTTTCGACTGCTCTGTGTCTCTTGGCTCTGGTATCCGCACTTCAAAAATATCAAGCGTAGGCGCTAAACCCTCGTCTCCGTTTTTTAAAGGCGAGTTGGAAATTGAATTTTGAGAGTTATTGCACTGAAGCAGCCTTGCTTCATCGCCAGCGCAGTCTACACCTGAATCGTGTCTGGAGTGCTCATTGAATTCGCCGCATGTGCTTTCCTTCGAGGTTTGTACGTGATTCGAGCTAGACGTGTCGCCGATATCGTTCAGTGTATTGTTTTCCATACTATCACGAGATTATGACGAGTAAATAACAAGCTGAACACGTTTACAATAAACTTTCTTAAAAGACATAACACATTTCTACGCCTAAATTACACACGAGTTTATGATTGATTCTATTCAACAATAAATCACTTGAGAACTTTTCTTGATTCTTGACGTCTGATTGGCCAAAATTGGAGCACAACGGAAGTGGCTTGAATGATGAGATCCTAAAACTCAAAGAGTCGACTATGGATGTTGGTGAAGTTGCTGGGGCATGGATGTTGGCGCGACAGCGGTTCGTGGAGTTCCTGGAATGATGTGAAGTGAGGGAAGAACCTCCACCTCGGGACTCGGGGCAGTGAGAAGGCGGCCCTCGGACGGGGGCAGCTGAGGGACAGCTTGGCCAGAACAGCATGCGGGCTGGAGGGTCCATCACAAGCACACAAACCTGCAAAACGTACTTCATGAGATAACAATACAAGATTTTCTCTTTATAACCATACAATTTGGGACGTACCTTATAAGGTAATACAAAACGCATCTGATAAGGTACTAAAAAACGTACCTCATGAGGTAAGACAAAAATTAACTCATGAAGTAATACAAAAAATACCTCATGAGGTAATTCGACAAGAGTTTCTCTATATAACCATGCAATTTGGGACAACAGCAGAAGGATGGAAAAATATTGTTTTCCATGAACCGAAAAACAATAAATAATAACTGGAAAGCCGATCTGCCTAAATATTTTAATCGAGATACCTAATTAAATATGCTATAATTAGCATGTTACTCCCTCCATGTTTTAATCAGTTGGTTAGAGCGCCGTGCTAATAACGCAGATGGACGGCGTGGGTTCGATCCCCATACTGGCCAACCGTTTCCATCGCGAGGCAGAGGCTTTATTTCCAAATTATTATTTTTTAATTAATACCATGATTGTGTATGGCGCAGCAACATCTGTGAACAGGATGAGCAGAGACACATCGCTTATTCAACAGGGTTTGATGTGCCAAATATGTACCAGGATGCACCGTACTACCTGTACCGAAATACCAGCTTCACTTGCACCGGGATTCGCAACACCACCAATGCACCAAGATGCACAGTATCTCGATAGGAAGAAGTATACATCTCGTAGTATCCCATCTTCGGTTGAAATAATAAAGAAACCCTATTTTTTAATGAAAGCAGTACCTTACATACTTGTATTTATTTACAATTGATAGTAAATGTTCTTAAGAGTTATTGATGTTGATCCGTTTTTCTAAAATTCAACAAATTATTTAACTAATTATAAATTGAAACATTAAAGCTTTAAGATAGGTCCGGTTAAGCAAAAACAGTTAAACTTAATGGTGGAGAACCAAACATGCTTTACTCGGAAGATACATCAGAGGGGGGACTTCTGACGCGTGTCTGTGCGCGTCAGAAGTCCTATGGGATTTCGCGCTCCTATATATAGGGGCAATTGTTCCTGAGCGCCCCACCACAGAGTGCGCAGGGTCTGGCGGTTGGTCTCAGTTGTGGGGTTAAGCCCTAATGTAGGCAAAACTCCTAACAATTCCCTTCTCTGTCTCTCTCGTGTGGGCGGCCGACGTCTCTTGTAAGCGACCTCTTGTTCGAGTGTCTTCGTTTCTGTTACTTTTCACCTGTCCCTCCTTGTCACTTCGTCTCTTTGAGATGCTAACGCTGCTTCTTTCGAGCCAGCTTCAGCGGGCTGAACACATGAGACCTCCCACCCCTTGTGGGTGATGATTGTTTTGAGATATTTTGAAAAAATTTAAACCTTCAGCCTTGCTGGCGATGCAACTTTTTGACCTCCGGCGCGAAATAGCTTGATAGTTGAAGCGCTAGGAAACCATTCTTCTACAACTATTCTTTCTGAAAATGAATCAGATACAAAAATAGGAAAGATGAAAAATTTATCTTCAAGGTGCGTGAATCAAAACGGTAATAACGATTTTGTACAGAGCAAGTAAACGTCAGATTCTGGAGTAAAATAATTATACGTTTACACTTATTTCGGTGCGTTCAGTTAAACAGATGCAAGCTTGTAATTTGGCCGGCATCCAAGCTAGGGTATTTACCCCAACTCATGGCACACACAACAGCTGATTTGTAGCTCCTAGCCACAGCTGAGCCAAATCTATGAAGCGCTTCAAGCTGAAGCAGGCAAGCGTCATTTCGTAACCACCACCGTGCCAACCGCGGCTCCGAAACGTGAACAAACAGACTCAGTGCACTGAGCAACACTACAGGCATATCTCAAATACTCTTCAGGGTGTGTTTATTCTGCTTTTCAAACTCAATTTCTATAGAAAATGATATTACGTAGTAATTTAATCATTGCATATTGGACGAGTTAACGTAAGGACAGTGACAATTTATCCTTTTTTAAAAGAACGACATGACCCAGATACAGCGGCGCTATACCAGTCCATCAGAACTACTTCTATTCAATTCATAATTGCTGGTGTGGTACAAAGTATGACCAGGCTCTCAATCTGGTGAAATACGTCAGGAATAGAATAGCAACTGCGGTTACGTGAGATATAAATTGCTCGGACTAACCTTGGTCTAAATTGCAGTTGGAAAGTTAATCGACGATAATAATAGATAGAGGAGAATATTTCCGAGACGGTAATATATGAGTACTTATGTATAAGTACTTTGGTAATTTATTTACCTAACGGACACCGTAATAATTTCCCCTAACGCTTTTTCTCAGCATTTTAGATGCAATTCTACTTTCAACGAGTAATTGCGAAGAAGTTTCATACACCTGCATCGATAAAAATATTCATCATAGAAATCAAATAATATAATTTTAAGTTCCAAATAAAAGGCCACAATAAAGATACCTATAGGTATCTTTATTGTGGCCTTTTGTTTGTGGCCTATGTGGCCTTGTTTTGTGTGGCCTATGCGCTAGTATACTAGCGCATATTCTTCATCATTTCACGTGCACCTCTTATTTAACAGTAGGTTTCTGAATGAGATCAATGGGATAGATTAGATAACACAATAAAATATTTGATCATTAAGCTAATCTATTCTAATTTACGCATATCAAGTTAATGGAACAATAATTGAAAAAATTATGCAGAGTAGCACTGTAACCTGAAATTGTGCAGGCCCCAGTAAAATACAAATTTGATCAAACGGATAATTGTATTCTGTTCTGGGTGGGCAGCGCACAGCACCCACATCACCACGGAGAAAAATAAAAGAGCCCATAAGAGGACCGAAGAGAGCTTCGGGGAAGAGGGCGCTGGGGAAAAGAGCTTCGGGGAAGAGGGAGCAAAGAATCGATAGACCTGCTGTGCCGAGGGCTCGTAGCCCGCCAATGCAGCGCATCTTGCAGCCGCGCGTCGGTCCCGCTATCAACGAACTAAAACACGCGGTAGACTAAACTCGCTAACAACGGTTGCAACGAACTAAAACACGCGGTAGACTAGACTTGCTACCGACGGTTGCAACGAACTAAAACACGCGGTAGACTAGGCTCGCTACCGACGGTTGCAACGAACTAAAACACGCAGTTCCCTAGAATCGCTCGATGTCACAATAGGCGATGAGAGTAGGGTGAGATATCCTTTTTTTTAAATTAAATGTGATTGGATTTTACTATTATAGGAACCCTATGAGCGTCGAAAGAAACTGTACCGTAGCGATAGAAAATCTGTTGAATGAATAAAGAAAATAAGAAACTAACTAACAACTACACGAATCTTCCAACACAGGTCGGTAAAATAGAAATTCCGGGAACCAATGTATTCACGATAATTTCACAACCGTCCACGACAATTTCACAACCGTCCAAAACATTTTAAAGATTTCACAATCTAAGTCATATAAATCTACTCGAGTCTTGTACATATAACTATCTTCCGATACACATAATTCAGAGGAAGATGAGATTTCATAAATACGCACGTTTCTCAAAAGCCATAGTGAGAAGTTTCCATAACATTGATATTACATGATCATCTCGTGCTAAATATATGGACAAAAGATCTGAAGTAAGACAGGAACCATTTGATAATAACCCTAATTCATAAATATGTAGGAAAACTCTTTAGTAGTGAATAGAGCGGAGCTGGAGTAGTGAATTACTCCCTCCCCCTTATACGGAACCGACCTTCAAGCCCCCGGTGCAGGCTGATAAACGCTCTCTACGTTGCCAAGAAAGCTGCGATGTGCGTCGTTGCTGAAGCTAAAAACAATTTTCATAAAAATATAATTAGATATCACATGATTTATTGCTGAATAAAATCATGATATTGAACCAGCACGTTCGAGTATTATTTATAAACTTTACGAAGGCGAGATGTCAGCAAATAAAGGTCATGCTGAACAAGGGCAACTAACTTATCTTCATTAAGAATTTGGAACTCGAACAGACACATTATTCCGACAGCTTCTTCAACTATGTGCCATAAAGCACAAACAAATGTCTCTGCTATCTCATCGAATTAACAGCAGCTCTACCATTTCGAAAAGGATTTTAGTGAAATTTTTTTCCAACTTAAATCATTATAACGTACGTTTTATACAGTACGATTGGAGAGTTAGATTTGAATTGGCTCACTCCATTAAGTGAGACTGAGTGACGAGCGGCAACTTAGACCCTCATTTTGCGTTCATCTAATTGTTTCTGTCATATTATTTACTTTTATTAGTGCAGTAGATATATAGCGTCAGTTATAATATGTATTCAATATCGTAACCGGCATCTATATAATGTCCTTCATATCGTAACCTTCAAATTATGTCACCCATATCCCTTTTGCGTAGTTTTATATATATATCATGTCATTCATATCGTGTCTGCCATATCATGTCATCCATATCATATATCATGTCATCCATATCGTATCTCCCATATCATGTCATACATATCGTGTCCGTCGTCTCATGTCATTTGTTGGACATCGAGAGACGTAGTTCCGTTTGAGGAATTATCTTATCACGACCAAATCTCTTACGTAATATGCCAGGCATTCTCTTCTGAATTGAAATTTCAATGTGCAACTTTTTGAACCATCATTTAGATGATGTTGCCTCAAGGATATTACAGAAGAACCAATTGCCGAAAAAAAATTTATCCATAACATTTTATAAACGTACATAAGTTATTTCATTAGTAGCATCATTTTAAACTCAATAAATCGACACTGAAAATATTGTTAGGTAGTTTGTCTGTTATTCTTCTTTACAAAGACAGCCTTGTGATATAATTTCCACTCAAATAAGATGCACACTGTAGAGAAATAACGATGCAATGATGCAAGTTGATCTGTGGCTTCATGGATGCCAGTTGATGAAGCCACAGACGGCAGTTAGGGTCGCGTTTGCACAAGCCATAATCCTTGTGGTAATGGCGATGTCGTTGGTGCATCAGTTGTGAAATTTACGAGCGGTTCGTTCGGTGTCTTTGATATTGTACGTTGCTGCTACTGGCATTGTTCGAGATGATTAAACTTTTTTTTTGTCTTTGTAAAGACGAAAAAAAATATTAAAGAAAAGATTGTAATCTTGTAAAGATTACTTGGAGAAACTTCGTGCTTTCAATCCTAATTTATTAAACTGGGACCGCTACTCTCGTCCAATCCGCAGTTCATTCCTCAGATGGCAATTATCTTGGTTTCAATCGAAGTTTGAACCAGGTTTACTTTCGTAATCTGTACACAGTGTTAAATTTCATTTTCGCATTAAGTTCATTAATGTACATACGCTTCTCGCTAATCTCTTCTAAGGAGGCGAAATCATGGACATTTATCGTGATCGTTTTTTTAATTCTCAGCTTAAAGGGAACAAGTTCAGTCACGGTGAGATTTGAGTGGGAGAGAGACTCGCAATATTGTATCAGTGACTCATTTCTTTTAAATCCAAATATATCCAAATATTATTATATGCAACCCTTAATTTTTGCACTCATCCTTATGTTCGCAAATTTTCCTGCAACTATTCGTTTTTGGTTCTTACTGGCCGTTCTACATCCACTTCGTTTCGGCTTTCAATTAAAATTTTCATCAGTAACTATATTTTTTATCGTACCCCTTATGCTTGCACCTAAATTCACTAGCAGTTAATTCCGAAACTGAAAGACGTCACGATTTCCATCCACGTTATGAACTACTGGACAACTACCATCTGTCAACAAGTCATTTAATTCTTGGTGGAGGCTCGATGTTAAAAAATTACTCCATACCCTTGCTCCTAAAAAACGAGAGTATGTTCTGTATAATAGTTTATTAAAAAATAAATAATAATACTAGACTAATAGAAGGGACAAAACCAGGCAGGCAATAATCTTAATCGGTACTGCCTACGTTAAGAAGAGAAAATCGAGAAATAGGTACCATAACAATTATATTTTAGAAATGCTTCATAATGAGAGAAGTTCAATTAATTGAATCCATGCTGATGAAATTTCATCAAAAAATGCAATAAACTTCATCAATTATAATTCAGTGCGGCTACAGCTTGCAAATCTAAATTGTTAAAACTGATTTTCAAACAAATTTAACTTCCTAATTTTTTCAAATGAAGGTCAAGGAGAGCAAGCACCTTGCGTGAAATAAGAGAGAAACATCGTTTAACTCACATTATACAGACGACGATAATGATATTAATAGAAGATTGACGAAATATTTGATGTAATTTCAACAACACGAGTAACCGATGCTGTTGATGAGCGCAAATCAGTAATTTAAATGGCCAGTGACCAACGTAAGAATACCTAACCACAAGCGAATCACACTTCACACCGCGGCGACTGGAGCAACACTGTCTGAGCTGACTGTGCACGAGTGTGCAGACTGTCTGTGCTCTCACTGCTCTGTGGCTGTCGGCGGTCGCAAGTCGCAAGTCCTCGTAACTCGCGGTCGCTGCAGCTCATGAATTGCTAATTTTTTTAGTCGATGTTAGACAATAGCATTTTTCTACACGACGTATTTGAATGGTTCTTATCATTCTTGATAACAGTGCATTTCGTCAGTGCATCAATATAAATGGAGAATGAACTCAGGCTGGTTTTGCGTAAACTCACTTTTTCGTTGTACTAAATCAGTTTAAGATATAATTATGATTACCGCATCAACATTTTTGGCCTGGATTTAGCCCTAAAATTCATTCGTGCACTAATGATAGCAAACTTTTCACACATAAAATTATAAGGTTCTTTTGATGCTTATCCACAAATCAGACAGTATCTGTCCCGTTTGATCAGCTCGCGGTCGAATGCCATGCGTGGAAGACACGTCTCAGACAAATTTAGGGCCGTACTTGCGGCCGGACTCTGTACCTGGAATATCTCCCAAAGTACTGAACGTAGCTCGATGAAACTTGGTACACATATTCATTATGGCCTAACGGTGTCGTCAAGCTCGTGACAATTTTTTTATTATCGCCTTCATTCGTGAGTTATATGACGAAACGTGCCGAAATTTGCAGTGTACCGGCCATTTCTTCCAGAGTACTGAACAGATCTGAATGAAATTTTGAATAAGAATTTCGAGACGTGTGGAAGACGCCATCTAAGTAGCTGAATTAGGATACGGTAGCAGCTAAGGTAGGTACCTGACAATCTAAGGCTTTAAGCTGACTCAAGAGCCGGTGTGTCTACTCAACTTTTAATGATGAACCGTTGAACTAAACTCTACAGTCTACACTGTCGAATGTAATCAACCTTCGCCATGACCATGACTTTTATTACTTACATTATTAGAGTTTTGAACTTCGTTACGTGGAGATGACAAAGAAATATTCAGTAAGAATTGATATTTTATATGAAGCTTGAATCAAAATCTATCCAAAAAAATATAAGTCGATATTGAGTAACATATGAAAACATTCATAAATAATTTTTTTTACCGAATTTCAAACATCGATCTAAAAATTTCAACTTGCTTATCTTAATGATGAGATTTATTTCAATGATGAAATAATATCTCTCGGACAAAATTATGTTAATTTTTCTTAAATGTTAATACAACATTATTTTAAACTTCAACTGCTTGACTTTCGTCAAATTAATGATCACCAATCTACTATGCAACGTTGCATTTCAATATTAAACTGGACGGGCGTAAATAGTAATTATTATTTTATTCCTTGTTTGCATAGAACTTTAGAAGTAATAATTAAGTTTCTTACATGTGCGATTCCTTCAGATCCCGTGCGTGACTATACGAACACATTCAAGCTTCGCTAAGAGAAATACGAAGATAATGTGTTTATTTAATGTCAACATTGTGGTAGTTGCGATACTTGGAGAATATTTTGAACTTAGGAGGATTGAATGACAAAACGCGTGAGAATTTAGATATATTCACAGTACACGAGGTATCAAGTACAAAATAATTGTCCTAACATTGCTTAACAGTGACTGGTTTCGGGAGACGATGACTCGTTTTTACTACACAAAAGCACTCACACACAAGCTACCGCTCACTCATACCACACAGCTTGGTGGTCACAAGAGTTGCAATTGTTGAGACAAGAAATACTGTCGTTATGGAGTCAATTTAAAAAGTTGCGCTAGGTGTGGCTGTCAACTTTAACTTCGAAATTGTACCAAACATTAATACAATTTCCAAACATGACTACAATTAACTCACTGGATTCAGGAAGACGATATGAACAGATAAGACATGAGAAAATGTGAACGAATTTATAATAGATATTAGAACCAAGAGGAGGAAGCAGAAGTTATTTAGTAAGTTGCAATGTGCTTACATCCAAAGTAGAGTAAATCGACACCAATTCGTACAGACATCGTGGTGAGCGATCCATCGCTCTTTCTTCACAAGTTACAGGTGATGGTAATTACTTAAGGTCGTACTTAAGCAAGACTTCTAAGGTACATAAGATTCTTTGCATAATTGGCATGAATTAACTACGGATTCAATTAATTAAGTCACATCGCTCTTTGCGAATTGGCAGCTGAGCACTCAAACATGGCTTGCAACCACACACTTGTTGCTGGTTAGTGACAACGTCCAAAATCACCTTATAGGAATTGACCGCAAAGTTCAACACTTGAAAAGTTTGAGGCTAAATAATTATTTCCAATTCCATTTAAATGTCCACATTTAATTTCATTAGCGCTAAGTTGAATTGAGACGTAAATTGAAGGCAGAAGGTTCAGACATTTAAAAGTAAGGCTTAGAAAATATGAAGACATTTCCGGGGCAAAGAAGACAAAAAATCCTTCCTTAATTGTAAACCCGATAGTAGAGAGAGATTTATGAAAAATTAAAACTAGAAAAAAATTCACATATTTTTCACTTCCTCTGTAAAAATGCAATGGAACTAGAACAGAAATACCACCTTAGTCGCGGGTCGCCAAGCTCACTCACCATATCCTTTGCGTTCGCAATATCTTAACCTTTGCATTAACATTCTGTTAATTCTTAATACATATACAATGACGGTAACCACCATGGTTGAAGTAATATTATTATTAGTTCAACCATGGCAACCACCGTCATTGGCGAGGCAAAGATGTAAGCACTAACAGGTTTCGATGAAAGTTTTACATTCGCGCAGCTTCGAGTATCACCAACGTGCACCACAAACTTACAAGACTCGTAGAAATACTATCCTAATGCGAATTATTATCATGGCGACGTAAATGGAGTTTGCAACCAATTATGGCCCTAGTTAGCAGTCAATTACGACCAGAAGAATTTGATACACTCTAGTTAGTTCAAATGTTAATTTTTGTACAGAAGACTCTGGAATGCAAGAGGAAGCTCATCAAACGATTATCAATAAACTGGACGTGATTTTCATTAAAAGAAACCTAGTGGATATTAGAGTTTCAAAACAAATAGAAGACCTACCAGTCCTCAACATTAAAGTCAATGTTGAAATAAAGGCCATAAAAAGTGCCAATGGAATATTCAAAAGAGGTGGTCGTAAGAATGACATAACGGAGATGAAAAGATTTGTAGTATAAGTCTCATTAAGCTTCACAAGGCAAGGCGTGAGACGATTTAGCTGAGCAGGATTTAATTAAAATGAATTGAATTACAAAAGTAAGATGAACACATTATTAATGGTAATGCAGACCAGCAACAAGAGACAGCATCTCCAGGCCATGAACAGCCCTCCCACAGACGAGCAACTTAAAAATAATATGAATACAGTGAATAGAAAAAATGTAAAGTCATAGAAAATCAGCAATTGAGATCAATTACACTGGAATCATTGAGAACAAATGTTGGTTGAAACGATTGGAATGATGCAATATCCAAACACATGTAACGAAAAATACTAGCGTCATTAGCTGAGTGGGAGGAGAAAGCTTGCAATGAGAAATCAAGATCATTTTAATCCACTTTATGATTCAGTAGCAGTTAGCTGAAGAGTGACAGAAGAAAGGAAGCGCGACTAATAAGAAAAATAAACAAATAATACAACATAGTGAAGTCATATTCGCGAGATTCAAACGGGAAAGTTTGAACTAATATAGAAGGGCCAAAGTAATGAAGAAGTTTCCGTTTTGAAAAAATTATCGTGCAAATCGATTTTAGAAAACCGATTTTATGAAATGTTTAGGATAATTCAATTGCATGTAAATGTTGAAAGATTAAATGTTAAAAAATGTTGAATAAATTTGATTAAAATGTTGAATAAATTTGTCAAGGATCTGTAAGCAAGAAAGAACAATGAAGAAATGCGTGAAATATAACTGAGCATCTATGATGCATCAATATCAATGCGGTTACAGAGATGAAGGAAAACTGCAGTAGGTTCCTATGAAACAGGCATGAAATGTTTCCCAAAGACACGAAATATAATGAGTGCCTCGAGACTGAACTGGCTGACTGGTCCGCCTGGGCACAATATTAACTTTGCAAACGATATAACAAGATTTGATCAAGTTACACATTCCTGGGTGGAGATTCAATCGTATGACGGTCACAGGCAAGGACGTAAGCCCAATAAGTGAAAAAATAGCACAATTTCAACCATAAGCCGTCATGAAATTCCCAATGTTTGTTAGCATAAGACGTGTGGCAGGACACATGTTCAAGTTCGGTATAGCTACTTGAGGTCATCGAACAATATGACAATAACAATTGACGTGTACTCGAGGTTTTAAGTGATGCGGAGGATCAGCTTGTAAAATGAAAGGCTAGGCGCTGCAAATGCAAGAATTTAAACATTAATTTAACAACTGATACAAAAGAATTCTAAATTTAATCTGTATTTCGCATTAAATTAGTAACATGAGCAATTTTAGAGGTGAGAAAGTAATTTGTTTCTGAATCACAGGCGACACGAAAAAGTAAATCAATGTAAAGAAATGCTCTTTCCAAAACAATGTAGTGGTTATGTGACTACGAATAAATTGCTGCTATAAAAGAGTTTACGTCGCTTATAGGCACAACTCTGACAGGGCTGCAATACACGCTGCCCAGGGGGAGCGCAGTCCTGATCGCACCGAACATTCACTATCTTTCATCACAATAAATTAATGACGCTTTACCTTAGCTAGCATCTGAACTAATCTTCTATCGTATCACAATTTGAACAAATTGAAGTACCTAATTCATGCTGGTGTTTTTCCAGCAGCTAGGATCGTTTAATATCGTATCACAAATCGAAGCGAGCCATGCACCCTCAAACAAATAGTACTACAGGGTATACAGAGGGTAAATCACCGCCTCGAGGGCAACTTGAGCACACAATGAGCCGGATAATGATTTATTTACCAGCAGGTCTACAGTTGCTGTACCTGTTGGAGCGCACGCAGGAGGTGAAGAGCAAGCAACACCGACATCGTCGAAGCAGCACCATTTCATACATAGAGTTACCAGGATTTGGTAATTGAAGCCCAAGAGAGACTAAAACCCTGGCAAGTTGAGGACATTTAGTAGTTGTGATGATGATGAACGGGTCATAAGGTACTGTTAAAGAGTTACACTAGATTATTGTCCAGGTGTAGAGCAGGTTGTCACGAAGGCTATACGAGGACATAGGTACACTTATAATTATCGACTATCATGGTAACAAAATAGAAGCCTTATCCTGTTGCCATTATTCCCATAGTTTGAAAATTTGGCGTTGCCGTATCTGTAAAGCAGTTTAGATACCATTCGCGACATGGGAGGGAATCGATAGTTTGAGGGTTTAATAAGCAAAAACATGAATGAGGGAGAGACATATTTTCAACTAGCGCCTCTTTATTGAAGATGCACATGATTTAGGCAATGTCTTGTTAGCTCTGAAGTCAGAGCTACGATAGGAGCAAATGATGCCTAATATCATCGCTGAATAAAACAGCATTTCATCAGCAGCCGCCACACACTTCACCTTAGATATAGAAGCTCTATACATTGCCTGCTATCTTTACCGCCACTTATCGTAATAATCCTCGACTATCCACATTTCACGGAGCATTCAACTATGTTTCTGAACTATCCGCATTTCCTGGAGCAGTGAGCTAAGTTTAATACAGTATCGTAATAATCCCTCAACTATCCACTTTTCACGGAGCATTCAACTATGTTTCTTTACTATCCACATTTCCTGGAGCAGTGAACTAATTAATACAGAAGCGAATAGGATCACAGACTCGCGTGGGTGTACAAGGAGCATCACCAGCAGGACCTACACATCAGGAGTGGTGCAGGTTCCTAAGAGTTCCTCATCACACTTGGGGCACTGCGTGGTACGCATCGTATTCGTAGTCTTCACAAGAAACGCCTACGAATGAGGCTTCACATAGATTAAGTAATGAGTGCGCTAACATATTTAAAGATTGACAATCCTTCCTCGTCTACATTGTGTTTGTATCCATAACAGAGTTAACCTCGTCATCGTTATATCCGTAACAGAGTTTACCTTGTCATCGTTAAATACAGTCATAATCCGAGCCAGATGACGAGACTCGTACAAAAGAAACACGAGTATAAATTGACTGTCAATCGCTATTCGAAGGTTAGATTCAGCCTGCCAGTAGCAGGAGAAAAACGATAAGATCATAAATACAATCAATCTCAGCCGCAAGCATACAAGGTCCAGGGTGGAATCCTTACCAGTTTTTAGCATGTCTACATCGCAATATTGGATAATAAATGCAGAGGCAGCAGTTCATAATTGAAGCAACGACACTCCTGACAATAGTGTCAACTTAGTCAACATAGTACAATAGAAAAATATTAAGGTTACTCGAACAATCAGAGTTGGTACACTGATAAGAGACAACACTAATGTTTCGGCAAGAAATCACGGACACTAGAATACACCACTGTACACAGAAATATCCATTTGAAAATACTCAGAAAATGTGAGAATATTCTGAGTTCATTTGCTGGTTCCATTGAATGTAAACAGATCACATGCACAAATGCGTGATATGTAAGTCCTTCGACACAGGCACGGACTGAAGCGCACTCGAACCCCCACCACCAGCGGCGGCGGTCATTATTACAAGGAATACTTCACATTTATTAAATAATTTACATCAAATTTGTTCGGCGATATTTTACAAAGTGGGCCTTTATGGAGGCTCACGTCAATTCTATGGACAAATTTTAGGGTGTAGGGCAACGTTGTATCTATACATTGTTTGCATCACGAAGGAACTAAACTGGACTCGAAGATGTTCGCTCTACGGCTATTAGCCGTTAAACGCACAACTTATCCGAATGTAGAAGGAAAAAATACTATCCGCTAATACGGTTGAAGCGCATAGTAAAACACGTGTAACTGTCGTGTTGGTGTTGCTCGCTGACTAAGAAGAGAGCGTTGATGCAAATACACGCGGGATTAAATGGTGTGGATTCTTTTCTATTAATCTTCGTTAATTCAACATTAATTTAAAAATCTGGATGGCGCACTTTAGCGAGCTTGAGCAGCAGTTCGGAAGAGTCCTGGCGAGGCTGACTAGGATGCCGTGGGGCTCTGGCTTCAGGGAACGAACTCTCAAATGACGACGGGGATGAACGTCGGGGGGAGGGCGATGAGATGGTGCGCTGTAGTGGTGGTGCGTGAAACGATGCGTGAGACGAGTCTCGTGAGAGAGAAGAATCTCGTGTGCAATGCTCACGACGCTCGCCTCGTCTCGCCTGTCAGTCGCTCGCGGACGAGGCCGTGAGGCTTCGTTCAGCGTCAGCCTCGGTAAGCGACGGCTTCTTGAGCACCGTGGGCTTGACACGCACGTGGGGCTTGGTCCCTACCACCGACGCTACTACCGGGGACCCTCCTGAAGCCGCTGCCACCGCCTGCAGGTACCTGGCTGCCAGGCGAGGCGTGTTCGGGGTCACGGGATGAGGGGGAGCTGCGGAGCGTACTTCGACCAGAGGTGACTCCGAGGACCGCGAGGTCACGTCCATGCTGCGCTGGTGGACGATGGACGTTGGTTTGAAGTCGTCGCTCTCGGTTATCTTGAGCTCGGACACGTCGATGGAGGACGCTTTGATCGCACCCAAAGATGACTTGGCTTGCAATAACGTCTGGGTTTGAGCGTCGCTGCTGCCCCCGGCGCTGAGGAACACAGTTTGGGTTTTGGTCACCGGAGTTTTTTTAAGTGTGCTTTGGTTTTGCTTAGCAAAGCACTCAGCAGCCGTCATGTCTGGGGATGGCGACGCTGTGCTGCCGTCTGCGCCGCACACCTCCACGTATTGGGGACTTGTGCTGCGAGCTCTAGGACTTGGACTCGCACTAGACTGTGGACTGGTTGAACTAGACTGATCTCTAGGAGAGGAAGATAAGGAAGACACAGGAAGGTCCATCACCAGGTCAGGGGCTCCAACGGCTTTCATTTTAGTTCTCACTTCCCTGAAGGTTCGATGACTCGAGCAGTTAAGCCGCTCGTCTGACGAGCTGGACGAGAGAGACGAGTGCGACGGGCGACGATGAACGGAGGTCTCGATAGCGACGATGGTGCTCCCTACGTCTCCTCCAGTCGCCACCACCATACTCCCACCACCAGCAGGTGCACTAGACCTTTCTACCATCTTGGTAGTTTCAGGTATGTTGGTGCATGATGAATGATGCCGCATGCTCACCATGTTGTTGTGCGCTATTGTGACCTCGGCACCCACACCGGCGTCGCGACCTATGGTGGTAACGCTCATGTTTTGGGAGGTGTCTTCGAGCTGGCCTTCTTGAGACAGGGAAATGTGCATGCGGGGAAGGGTAGACTGGTGCAGGGGAGGAGACGAGTAGTTCGCCCGCACAGCAACCACCTGAACAGCAGGTACAACACTAAAACTCCCACCAACATCGTAACTTCTACACACATAAACTATTCAGCTAAATGACACCATGAAACCATACATTTCTACACGTTAATAAAGATATTTAGTTTACTTAACGAAATAGTGGGACTGGGAAACATTAATTTGTCTACTTTTCAGTTGTATTGGGATTCAAAATACTCAATTTTCGCTAACAGGGTAAATCAAAAGAAAAAAATTCATGCAAAAAATTCTGGAAACCAAATTGCAGTTTTATTGTAAAAAACAGAATTCCCATAAATAAAATCATATGTGCCAATAGGTTCTGGAGCCGTTGGGCTCTACGCAGCAACCACTGACTGCTCAATAGTTTGTAGTTACGAGCGATGTGGTGTAGTGATGTTTAGTTAGTTGCTCAAACTCTCATGAGATGGTGAGTTTATAGTTCCTATACAAATACTATAGTCGCATAATAGGAGACGGGGACATGAAGAGGAACTATTCCTGCTATCAGACCTAATGAAAATCAAGCAAGCCTACCAGGCTCACAAAGCTGAATATAACAAGACGGCGCTGCGATAATGAGGCGTTGAAAGAGGCATCCGAGGGAGGGAGCTGAGGGCTGAGAGGCCACAGCAGAGAAAGTTAGCACATGATAACATCCAGAGAAGAGATTACAGACGGACAAATGAAGATCGTCAATAGCGCTAGTCAATAGAACAAGTCAAGAATACGAGTCAAAAGAACAAGTCAAGAATACGAGTCAATAGTGAATACGTGTCAATAGCGCGAGTTAATAGAACACGTCAAGGAAACGAGTCAATAACGCTAGTCGATGAAACAAGTCGAGGATACGAGTCAATAGAACACAAGAAGTCAATAGCGTGAGTCAATAGAACAAGTCGCGAATACGAGTCAATAGGGCAAATCACTAGCGTAAGTCGATAGCGCTAGTCAACCGGAGAGTCAAGAGCACACTGACCAGGCCATTCACCTCAGGAGGTCTTCAACAATGTGAACGTAACTCAGCGGAGAACCTGTGTGGACTTACCTCGATGTCACGGAATACGAGGGGTGAAGTTCAACATCCCTAAACATCATTGATATTCATTCCAGCGTAACGAACATACTAAAAGTCAACGATGCAAGACCTCACTTTCTGAAACTAATGCCTTGCCTACAACGAACATGAATGTCACTGCCTGGTCACAAAATCACAAGAGTGATGGAAAATTTAGTTTACTGAAGCTGCATCTCACGATTGATTAGCAAAAATGAACATACTATTGGCAGACGTGTAATTTGACATCTCGTTGCTGCTATAACCAACTCTGACCAGCGGATTAGTAGAGACATTAACGCAAAGATGGTCGAAATGAGAAATTTAAGATTGGATAAAGTAGCTGCTTGCGAAATATCCTAGAAATTTCGCTCGGTAAATGAGACAAAAGGAAAAAATAAAGCTATCAATGGTTATGATTTGGAGCCATGATTTCATCCATCGACGCTCACCCGAATAAACCTTTTTTTAAATTTGTACTATGTAAGCAAGAGAGCAACAAGCTTATTTCCACGGGGATATTAATATACAAAACGCGCACTACTTCTTTAGCAAAACTACAAAAATTTGTACTTGGTAGTGCGTTCTGAATCTGAATTTGGACGACGCCTTAAGTAGCACAAGAGGACCTGGTAACTACTTGGTGTTGAGGGCAAACGTGTTGCATGGTCCCGACACGAGCACACACACTAACAACATTTAGGGCTGGCTTAAAGCTGCTGGTGTTCACATAATAACATTCAATCAATTCGATTTAAGTTAATTTACGTCAATTGCTTCACTGCTTTAAGAAGGAGTTTTCCTTGAAATTTATACAAACATCGAAGCTAAAGAAAACGTACTTTCCATTGGACATTCGTAACTCTCATTATTTTATTTTATTATAACAATTCGAAATATTAAATGCATATTTGATATTTTTTTGGTAAAAACAAAAATTCGTCCAGCGACAGTGCCAACACATATGAGCGCTAGCGTGCCACAGCCCAACAGAGAGAGACAAAAGAATTCACTCTTTCACAGCAACGCAATATAAACATAAACACATAATAACGCACAACACTAACAGAATAAGAAAGTCTTTCTCAATACTTAATTCGAGATATTCACAAAATTTGTCGAGATGGAAAAAAATGAACAAAAAATATTAAAATTTTTAAATATATTGAAAATCACGATGAGAATGGGGTGAAAAAATTCATCTTTAGAAGTTATATTTAATTCCGGATGGTTTGAGTCTCCAATATAACTAACTACCTATCATCTAAACAGCTTTTTGGTCACCACAAAACCACCATACGACTTTTCGCGAAGAAAATCGCTCTGAAGTGAACGTTTTTCTACTGCATGTTTTCAAAATATGGAGGCTGCTGTGCTGGAAATTACAATCAGAAGCTTGATCTCGGTCAATTCTCATGTATATTATCGATATCCGTGGCCGTTAACAGATACTATTGGGTTCAAGATGCCCCTGCTAGGTTGTATAAAAAATAAAATTACAGATGAAATGTCTTTGGTATGCAGAATTGACACGAGGCAATAAAAAAACACAGCTGCCATCACAGGGCGGTAATTTAAGGCAATGCACAAGCTGGAGCATGAACAGTAAATAGGGAGATCCAGCCACAGAAAGGACCAGAGGGTCGACGAAACTAACTTGCAGAACCTTTATAGCCACCATAAAAAATAACGCAGCTGCCTTATCTATACCTAGGCTATGATTTCTTGCCGTGACCATATATTTTCACAGCAAGCGAACAATTTCATTGAGCATAGAAACACTATACCGATTTAAGAGTTATTCATCATTGCAGTTTTGCAGAAAATAACGGTAAATACCTACATGGAGTCACCTGCTAACTGTGGCATATACAAGAGGGTAAAGCAGTGTAAATATTAGGGAAGACCTGGGGCCATACTTTCAAAACTCGCTAAGTGAACGTAAGTACTTACGCTCTATTTTCTTACCTATGTTTGGTGGATTTTGCTTGAAAGGCCGTCAATGATTGGCTGATGAACTTACGATCTCTTAACTTTTTTTGAAAGTATAGGGCCTGCGCTATAATATTACCTCCTGCTCCTCCCGAGGCTGCGCGAGGGGAGAGGCGCCCGACTGCTGAGAAGAGGGCGACGAGCGCGGTAGTGACACGGAGTGAACTAGAGGAGGGGTGGAGTTGAGGTGCTGTGGAGGGGTAGAGTGCAGAAGTGGTGTAGAGGCAAGGTGCTGTGAAGGGGTGGAGTGCAGAAGGGGTGTAGAGGCAAGGTGTTGCGGAGGGGTGTAGGTGAGGATGGTGGTGGAGGTATGGAGGCCTGGGGCGGGCGAGGCAGCGCGGCACAAGGGGCTGTGGCTGCGCTCCGTCACTCCGCTCACACCGGAGTCCTGGGTACAGGAGGCGGGTCAGGGGCAATAGTTTCATGTCGGCGGGGACACTGCATGGTGCGGTGTTTCCCACAGGCATTGATTAAAATCCAAACTTAGTTTCTCGACTCAATATTGGATTTTAGGAAGGAAACTCAATTGTTATTTTTATAAATTGTATAGATTGTTAGGAAACTCCACTCAATTTAGTAAAAGATAAATTGAAATAAGGATTTAGAACAATTGGGAAGGGTTATATTGAAAATTCTCAGGTAAATCCTGTTGATTTTCTCTCGTTAGTTCCTTATAATTATTTCTTTTATGGCTGGCTTTATGACGAATAGGTAGTGAGGCAGCAGAGCGCTACCCAGCATGTCGTCAATAGCGACACTGAAAACAAAACGACATCCATTACGCAAGTATTTGAGAACGTCAAGCTTTCAGCTCTTGAGAACCTCAAGCTTTCAGCTCTTGAGCGCCTTCAGCTTTCAGCTCTTGAGCGCCTTAAGCTTTCAGCTCTTGTGAACCTCAAGCTTTCAGCTCTTGTGAACCTCAAGCTTTCAGCTCTTGAGCGCCTTAAGCTTTCAGCTCTTGAGAACCTCAAGCTTTCAGCTCTTGAGCGCCTGAAGCTTTCAGCTCTTGAGAACCTTAAGCTTTCAGCTCTTGAGAACCTTAAGCTTTCAGCTCTTGAGAACCTCAAGCTTTCAGCTCTTAAGAGTTCTCGTGAGCACAAAGCTCTTACAAGTGCTAAGCCCTGAGCTTGCACAGCCGCAAAGCTTGACTGACCTGAGACGCGGAGTGCAGTGAGGACCCGTTAAGGGGAGGAGCTTTGCCGTGTGTGGGGGTGACGGCCTGAAGGCCTCCTGTCATGTTCGGGGCCAAGCAAGACGTGTGGGGAGATTGCTGTTGCTGGTGTCCCCCGCACTCAGTGGGAGTGTAGAGGACGGAGTGGAAGCTGGAGTGGTAGGACGGTCCACAAGGAGAGCTGGGAGTTTCAGGAGCAGGCAGGCTGGACGATGTCAGGGAGTCTGATGAGGACGAGGGACGGCGCTGCAGCTGATGGTGGTGGTGGCCGATGGCGGGTAGGTCGCTTGGCCGGTCCTTGTCATCCTCTCTGTCAGAGTCAAGAGCGTCAAATGTCTACCACCTTTCAAATTAGCTCAGTGGCAAAATGTTTACTAGCGTTTTCGCTGGTAAACATAATAACTACATAATAACTTAACCCCACAACTGAGACCTGCCGTCAGACACCGCGAGCTCAGCGGTGGGGCGCTCAGGAACAATCCCCCTAGCAGCGCGAAATCCCATAGAACTTCTGACGAGCACAGACACGCGTCAGAAGTCCCCAATGAGGAGTTATATTTTTAAGTGCCATCGTGTTGATTGCTCTTGTAATAATTGTACAACCTCGTTCTGCTTGTTAGTAAACAATGCAAGTTAACAGGCCACGACTAAATGACAGCTTTACCAAGTTTAGGTGCTAACTTTTAGCCTTCAATCCATTTCCTGAAATCACATCAACAACTTGCGCAGTAATTGCTTTGCTTCACAGATAATTTTTGTATTCTGTACCTTAATGTCTTGTTTAAGCAGCGTCATTTCTCATTGATGAAATGTTGTGGGGTAAGTGCCAGTCATTACCCTCACAGTAAGCAAGATTCGAAATGAAAAGAGACGAGAGCTGGGAATTTATTGCAGTGTAAATTAAAAACAAGATGGTGTTGGAAAGTAAACATGGAGTTGTTTAATAATAGTGTATAATAATAAATAATACCCTTGGCAACGTGAGCACCTGTTACGGGGATCAGCCGGAAAATAATAGCTAACGAGAACAATGTGGAAGCGACGTTAACTTCCTAAACGGTGTCGCCAAGGTAAGGGAAAGCTATAATTTTATAAAAATAAAACTCGTACCGGAAGATACTGACTAACGAGAACAAAGCGACGTTAACTTCCAAAACTGTGTCGCCAAGGTAGGAGGAAAGCTATTATTTTATAAAAATAAAACTCGTAAATTGTGTAACAATACAACAACTCATGCAATCAACTTAACAAATATTTTTCTCCGTTACATTAGTAACATTGTATGACACCACTCACCTTATTTTGAGGAGGATATACTTGTCAGGGATGAGGCCGACCTTGCCCCTGTGTGCACCCTTCCACCAGTCGGATGACACCTGCGCGTGCAGCACCAGCAGGTCGCCCTTACTGAAGCTCAGCTCACGCTCAGACCGCGCCACGAAGTCGAACTGTGCTACGGCCTCCAGCACTTCGCCTTCTACGGGAAATTCAGAGCTTGTTCACACTTGACGAGGAAAAGCGACGTAAATAATGTATGTGTGAGCATGATTCTTATCATGGTAAGGCAAGTACGTGGAAAAGTTATGTGAAAAATACTTGTGGCAATAATATTTACCCCAATATTGGTATTATTGGGCTAACAAGGCATGATATCTATACCAGTACATAGGTACCACTTGTATGTGGCATGTACTTATTACCAAGGCATGATATCTATACAAGTACATTGGTATACTATATACTTGTACTATGCATGTTTAGATCGTATGGCTATCTAGAAGACTTGTGTTCTTGTTAACTGTTTTACTGTCATTCGTGTTTGTGGGCATTTAGAACCGACGCAATTGGTATGAGGTGCATTCAACGATCTAAATAAATAGGACACAGTCGAACATAATAATAACCTTCGAGCAAGATAAACTTCTTAGCAAGGACGGTAAGAGGGGAGAATTAATAGCAAAGATACTTGAATGATTAAAACCCTATTAGTGAACAAATTTGCACCTCCATTCAATAACATCCGTCATAGGGGAACCAAAATACCGTCAGTGCTTCACAGCGCCCAGTTAGCCTAACTTGTGATTAGTTCGGCATCGCAGTCACAACGTATTTCAAATTCAAACTCAACGAATTTCAAAATCATGATATAAATAGAATGTGAAATTTAAATCAAATGCTTATTTCTATGAAAATCGAGTATTCATAATCTGACAGAATCCAGTTTGGCCAAGTTCAAGGTACAGAGCGGAAATATGTTAACAGTTTAAGGAGGCGAGAAACAGTTTTTAACAGAAAACAGTTTAAGGAGGCGAGTTGTGTTCCAAAGAACAGTTCACAAAAAGTTCGTTACATCGGACACTTACTGAGGGCGATACATAGATTGATTGCAGTTGCAACTTACTTCCAAAAATGGGCAGGCTGATTTCTCTGTCCTTAAAGACAGAATCTGCTGGAAGGAGAAAGGGAAGGTTACATGCAGGTCTCAGGTGCTGTTATTTATCTCTACTCGTCAATCTCATCTGCGATGAACAAGCGACGTCTCATACAAAGCAACGGTTAAAAAAAAAGTTATTTGTAACCTTTTTAGCGGCAGGTTATTTCTTTTGGCAGAATTTTTAGATGGGAAGGATTTAATATTGAAGGAAACAACTGCGACGAATAGGGTAAGACACGCGCCCCTGCCCATCACAGATGCCGGCATTAGCCCACCTAGTCATGCTAATGTTAAACAGCTTTGACTTGCAACGCATGCGGCACACATCTACAGTTTTTCTTACTCTAAACTCCAAATTAACAACAATAACACTCCTTTAAAATGCTTTAATAACGAGCTCATCAGCTATAGCAATCCACAGGGCTTGTTCAAGAAGCAGGCAATCCACTTCCAAACTCCACGCAATCGGAGAGAAAATAGAGGATTTATAACGGGCTGTAGTACAGACATAATCTTCCAGCAATAGTGGACAAATATTCAAATAAATTTTCATAACGTAGGTTTTCATACTTGCAAAATATGCCTGAGGAGAGCATTCGTTTTGCATCTTAAGGCTCATTTACACCAACCGAGCAGAGTTAGCCAACGTACAAATATGAAAAACTGTGCACATCATGCAGGGGGTATTTTCGCTCGCAGCGCCTGGACATATCAACGAGCAGGTCATTCCAGGGTCCGACGCAGTTCCCAGCGTAAAATCGGGGCCATCAAAACTTCCACATTCAATCCTTTAAATACCGAGAACTTTAATTACGATTTACTGTTTGGTATTTATAGGTATTTTGGTATTTTATTGATTATTTATTTTATTTTTTATTGGTATTTTAAAACCAACTATTGGTATTTAACCAAGTATATGTAGTCTATTTGAACAGATATTAGCAGAAATGATAGATTATAATGAATGAGCCCATACGTGCGCAGGTGGCGGATGATCTTTCCTTATTGGACTCGAGCAAGACAAGGTGGGCGTGGGATTATATTCAAGTATTTCAATAGCCTTCCTACTTTGTTCATTTTTAGTTGTACAGATTTAGTTACGTTTGGTGAGGAAGTTGTCAGCTATCATACAATGAATGATTTAATTGGAAATTCAACATTTATTTCGTAACCTTAATTGCGTAAACAATGAATGCAAAGCAATATTATTTTGCTAAAAATGTGGTTAAATTGTAGGTTTCGTATTGGCAATTTTGTTACTAAATAAATTCATACCAAGAAGTTGGCAATTGTCTAAAAATTGGAGCTCAGGAGCCATCAAACATTATATTATAGGCAACTACTTTAACTAAATACCGGTAATCAAATAATATACACACTCTACCACTATCACTAAAATAACAATAAAACATCACACGAGAGATTAGGTGTTGCTGATCACCAAAAGCACACACACCATTCAGAGGCACAAACATTATCATCACCGTATCGCAGCTGCGTAATTATGGTCTCTATTGGTCATCTTATCTCACCATCTTCAGGCGCCAGATACTATACTGTAAGTAGAGTTGAATTATCCCACTCTCATGAGAAGCAGTACCTGCCTTACAATATATAAGGCACTGCTTCAAGGACAGAAGGTACCTTATATAGTAAGAACGGACTATATAGTACCATATAGTAACGGAAGGTACCTCATATAGTAAGGACTAAGAACGGAAGGTACCTTATATAATATATAAGGTATCTTACGTTCACAAGATCTCACCATCTTCAGACGCCGTGTGTTCAGAGTCGAAGTCGTCCTGGTTGGGCGCATCGCCCACATCGGCCTCGAGTTCGAGGGAGTCCTGGGACAAATATTTCTCATAGGTGGGGCCACCGTCCGCTGGGAAGATGTCTTCGCTGAAGATGATGATGTTCTTGATGAGCTCATTGACCAGGTTCTGGAACTGCACCTGCGGACAAATAGAACTTCAGTGACGCGTTAAAGATATTAGTTACCAGGTTCTGGAACTGCACCTGCGGACAAATAGAACTTCAGTGACGCGTTAAAGATATTAGTTACCAGGTTCTGTACTGCACCTGCGAGAGCTTAGCACTGTAGCCGATATTTACAAGAAAAATTCATGAAGTAAACAGATTAAACGAAGATAACTGGGAATAGAAGAAAATGATGCACAATTGGAATTAAATAAAAATAATAAATAGCAATCATAAGCGAATTAGAGGCGAGAATCAACAACGAAAGATAATATTATAGATCTTTGTAAGGGATGGATAACCCCGACATACCTGGTCCTTGTCCTCAGGGATGGGCACCAGGGTCGGGCCGAAGCAGATGGCCAGGTTGTACGGGTCCATCATGTTTTCATCGCTGAACTCGCTCAGGCTGCACACACATCATAAACTTTCACATTTCTCATATTCTTTATTCATCTGCTTACAACAATCCATTTATTTTTTGCGCACACATCATCGAATTAACATAAATATTTAATGGCTTCTCCATTAGAATTTATCAAAAAAGTTATATGGTTTAGTGTTTAAAGTCATAAGAACTTCTTTATCAGTTACCGCACGCTCAATTGTCATGTAGAACGTTGAGAAATACCAACTTACGAACATCAAATACTGTTCAACGCCTCAAAAATCAGATGTTGTAAAATATAGCAGTTGCTTTAGAGTATTCAACAGGACAGAAGTTTTATGAACACCACACAGCGGTGGTTAAGAAATGCTTTACGACGTGCTATGGAAGACTATATAGGCAGAAATGAAAGAACAAATTACACTGCCGTCGCTAAAAGCAGGAGAACTACTGACAACATCCGCCATTTTCATACACTACTTAATGCTCGTGTTGACATCGCGATGTTCTAAGAACAGTTATGATTAATATTATAAATAATAATTATTTAGCTCCGATGTTATACCGAGATCATGTCACTTAGTTTTATGGTGTGACTTACAAATACAAGAGCACTTCATAACTATCCTACCTGGTGACGACCATCATTAACATGCGCAAATGTTACTTAATTAACCGGCTTCACCTGAACTTTACAGTAGTCATTAAATTCCAGTTCTTAAAAAATCATGCTTCACGATGAGAACTGTGTTTAAAAGAAAATTTAAAATGAAAAAAAGATTTGCTCAAGGTATACAATTTTCAAGCTTACTTACTGATTTAGAAAAGCGAAAAGGTATCGCATGACTACAAAGACTGGCCGGGGCAAGGTTATCACCACCTCTCGTATCTTGCTCACAAACTCCTGCTTGCACGCCAGCTCTGTGAAGAAAGATACACGCATTACTCCTACAAAACTCTATAGCTTGGCAGCTCAAGGACGTCGTCATCATCTTTATGGTAGAACATCAACACTGCATTTGTGTTGATGCAGTGCTAAATTCATTCAACAGAGCCTACATTCATGGTGGCATAACGTGACGTATAAGATAACAAACTCAACAGCGGCGCACAAAAGCTATGACTTAGAATTTCCATCAGCAGGCTGTTCGGGATAGCGGAATTAGGGATTCCCAAATTGAGAAGTCTTTTTTATCCAGGACAACACCGAGTTAGCATGCTAGTTAAAAATATTCAATAAATTTTTACTCTTAGACCACAAAGTCAAAGTGATTTCTAGGCGAAGATTTCTTTCCATTCAAAGCGCTCAAGCTTAGACATCTAAAAGTTTAGTTATCTATGTTTGGGTGTGCGACTATGAACTTGAGCTTGGATATCTAAAAGTTTAGTTATCTATGTTTGGCTGTATGACAATGAACTGATACCCACGCACGTGCTATCTCCATGAACTGGTCGAAGAAGACGGTAGGGAAGAGTGGCTCCCTGAGCTCCCTGAAGTAGAGCTTGAGGACCCCGGCGACGCTGTTCATGTCGCTCGCGTCGCTCACGTCAGCCAGAGGGTCCTCCAACTTCTCGAAGCTCTCACGGAAGTTGTTGATCTCCAGCTGACTGCCCGACACTCGGAATATCCCTTGATGGTGCAGACCTGCGAGGGTGAACATGGATGTGGTTAACAGCGGGTGCTTGGTATAGCAATATTAGTGCTTAATTTAGCATAATTTAAACGGAATATCCCTTGGTGGTGCAGACCTGCCACGATGAATATGGAGGTTGTTACAGAGGGTGCTTAATATGGCACTATTAGTGCTTAATTCAGTATAATTTAAATAATTTTAATAATTCAATTAAATAATACAACAAAATAATAGTAATTTTATTGTTAAGCACTCGTCGGAGTACTTAGCGCTTAATTTAATATAATTCAGTGTTTAGTGCTTAATTTAGCACTGTGCTCATAACCTGATGCGTAGTGTTATCTGAAGTCTCGCTCGCAAACTTCTAGAAATCAATAGAGCGTCTCAGATTCGAGTGACCAGAACATGGAGGCGTAAAGTAAGAATATAAGAGTATGAAACAATAAAACTCATCTCCACACACACAACACAGCTGAGGCACGTGTTGTGTGTCACACGTGCTCGGCCCTTATCACACGGTATACACTGCACGACTTTAGGATAAGTGAGGCCGTCACCACGATGACGTGTATGATGGGATGAGAGATATTTACTGGTGTTTAGCCTTAGGTATTTATTGTGAATAGCCTTACCACACACAAGAATAACACATCACACACATCACACATGAGAACAACACACAACACGTCTCACCATACAAGTTGATGACGCGTATACAGGAGCGCAGGATGAGAGGGATGTCCTGGTGGGTTGCCTCCAGATATTCCTCCAGGGACCCGCCAAAGAGCTTAGGCTGCCCCATCAGCGGCGTCCGGCCGATGCGGCGTCGCTTGGGCTTGTCTGCTGCCAGCGCTCTGACGATATAGACGATATATTGTTATTAGTATATTATTGTTGTTATTATATTATTTCATGAAGTTTCGTCATCCGCGCTTCGTCATCTTTACTCAGCACCATACACAACGTTTCAACAATCACGTTTCATCACAACTAAAAGATTAACAAGCATAAGCACACCAGGTTCTGTTAGGATAAAACTTATTATATTATGCCAGGTTAATAAAGGTTCTGTCAGGATTACTGGGATCGACCTAGGCAGCAATCGACATAGGCTCACTAGGTATTCCATATTCCTAGTCAAAATTTTCTAATTTTATTCAACATCAAAATTTCTTCGTTGAAGCTTTAATTCCGCGTTTAAACAAAATTTATTTGATTTTAAATTCTTGATGATAATTTAATCAATCCCATTGAATGTTGTACTGCATTATTATGAATGTTTACATTAATGTTATTTAGCATTAATGTTACTACATTGATGCTCGGCAATTGCTGGGTACAGTGCAGATGACACAACTGTCATCAAGACACATCTGATAGCGACTGGATGTGTGACAAACTAAACCATGAGCAACATGTGGTAGATTCTTCGCAACTGAACAATTACAGATGTTGGGAAGAGAATAACAAAAGAAAGAGAATGTAGGTACAGTAACGTAACTAAGGCTCCTCGAAATATTCCATTTTGAACTAAGAAATCGTTTTTTAAGCGAAACATTACCATGAATAGCCAGAAATATCGAATTTGTTGACCTGATAAAGCTATAAAGGAAGAATCGACATCGGGCAATATAAAATAATACTAGGATGCAAAAATCTATTCATCGATTCGCAAGCTGATCGATTGTTGCGATCAAATTGCATTAATTTTTTAGGGCAGTTTCGTACTTTTGAAGGCAAAGTTACCTCATCAAGTGATGCTCGCACCTTTCCTTATGTCACGAAAATGACAGTTCATGTTGGAATCATAACTCCGGTGCAGAGCTCTAAAATCACAGATTTGTGGTGCCATCTTTACAGATACCGCAGACTAAAAACAGGAGCATTAATAGCATGCACATCATTTTAAAATTACTTAATTATAAATTAGTTAAAGTTAGGCAACGGTGCAGAGTAGACAAGAGCAGAAGGTAGAGAGTAGAGCAGCACATTATAGAGTAGACAAGAGCAAAGTAGACAAGAGCAGAGTAGACAAGAGCAGAGTAGACAAAAGCAGAGTAGACAAGAGCAGAGTAGACAAGAGCAGAGTAGACAAGAGCAGAGTAGACAAGAGCAGAGTAGACAAGAGCAGAGTGGACAAGAGCAGAAGGTAGAGAGTAGAGCAGCACATATAGAGTAGAGCGTGTGTTGCAGTACCTAGCAGGAGTGGGTGAGGCAGAACTGGCGTGGTCGTCGCCGAGGGCGCGGCGCAGGAGCTCGTAGCGGCTCTGCAGGCGGCATATCAGGTTGCTGCTCAGCGTGTACTCACGGAATTTCTGTAATAACAGGTAAGGTATCAGCAAAGAATACGAGTTAGATGTTCAAATTACGAGATGAATGGACAAAAACCACACCACAGAACTAACTTTCAGGTCTTTAAATTCAGTTTAAAGGCCGACTTGGGCACTTTATTAAAGAAACTACCCGTGAAAAAAAGCACTGAGATTGAAAAGTCTCAAAGATTAAAAATTATAAAAAAGGCCCTGAGATTAAAAGTCTTTGAGATTATATATTAAAAAAAGGCCCTGAGATTAAAAGCCTCTGAAAATAAATATTAAACAAAGGACCTGAGATTAAAAGCCTCTGAGATTAAATATTAAAAAAAGGCCCTGAGATTAAAAGCCTCTGAGAATAAGTATTAAACAATGGCCCTGAGATTAAAAGCCCCTGAGATTAAATATTAAAAAAAGGCCCTGAGATTAAAAATTAAAAAAAAAGGCCCAGAGATTAAAAGCCTCTGAGATTGAAGCCTCACATTGAGATAAAAGGCCTCCGTCTCCTGATGGTCCGCCCTGAGCTTCATGGATCCCGCCTCTGGCACGCGCATCTCGCTAGCGTTCTTGACGGCCTCGTCGCTGAAGAAGTGCGCCACGTCGTAGTCTCGTCGGTTGAGCATCTCGAGCAACGTCTTCTCCGCGGTCTCGATGGTCTTCCAGTTCTCCTCAGACTCGGCGCGCAGCCCCGTGAGGCGGCTCACGAGATGCGCGTGACGCTTCTCGATCTCCTCCTGCACCTCACGGGTCACCTGCACCTGGCACACCTGTAACGCGGTAGAGTAAACAGCTGTAACAAGGTATACAGCTGCACGTCTGGTGAATATTGCACCTGCAACACGGTGGTGTAAACACCTGTAACAAGGTATACAGCTGCACGTCTGGTGAATATTGCACCTGCAACACGGTGGTGTAAACACCTGTAACATGGTATACAGCTGCACGTCTGGTGAATATTGCACCTGCAACACGGTAGTGTAAACACCTGTAACAAGGTATACAGCTGCACGTTTGGTGAATAGTGCACTTGTAACACGGTAGAGTTAACACCTGCAACGTGGAAATGTTAATAGTGGACATGACAGACGGTAGTGTTACATGTGCACTATTCACAGTATTGGTGTACTTGAACAAACAACACGGTAGTGTTGCATTAGCACAGTAGTGATAATTTTTTAATAATTCTCATCCTGGCATGACAATATCGAAAGTTCATTTACGTGTTTAACTGTAATTTCTAACACACCGAGAACAAACAAACAGAAATATATCACAAAACGCTACCTACTGACGTAGGCCGTTATAAAGGCTAAGAGGTATGGATAATCAAATACCAATGTTTACCTCATCGCCTTTGTGTCCCTGGAACTCGAACTTTTTAGGCAGCATGAAGGCAGCGTTATTGTACTTTAGGAACTTCTGCTTGTCGAGGCGTGAGTCAAGGTTTGTGATGGTCTTCTGTAGGTCGTCTATGCTGGTCTGCAGGCTGCGCTTGAAGCATTCCTGGCCAGACTGGTGCGTGAGTAGAGCTCGTGCCAGGCTGTTGTGAAGCCCAAAGTCCATTGCCTGTAATGTGAATAGGCTTTGTTATTCAGAGCTATAAGATGAACCTTAACCATTGCCTGTCATATGTAAATAAGGCTGTCATTCACAGCCATAAGATAAACATTATGGCTGTCATTCACAGCCCAAAGATAAACATTATGGCTGTCATTCACAGCCATAAGATGAACCCTAATTCAAGACATTATAAGAGAACGATAACAAGAGAAATATATTTATGAAATAACTCTCATGAGTGAAAACTTAAGCACCATTAATAAATGCGCAGTCACCGCTGGTAATTATACTGGAGAAGGGAGAGTTTGATAATTTTAATTTATGCCACAGTGCCTATCGCCCATCACAATGTGCATTGCCTGAGCAGCGAAGGTAAGACTGAAGAGATAAATAAGAATCAAGACTTACATGTGAGTGAAAAATTTTTATTTGAACAAGAAATGACTAGGTACTTAAATACATGGAGAATGCTTAACTGATATTCAGATAATTTAGACTGGGATTTCGGTAGAAGTCAATAACCTGTATAAATTTATACAATAACTCCATACAACCATAAATCATTCAAGCCAATCATAATAAAGTGATAATGTGGGTGATGAGAACTACTCATTTTTACTTGACGTAGTTACACAGAGAGTTCGTGTACAATACGACTCTTTGTGTTAGTTCTTTCTATGCAAGTATAAAAATTCAGATATATACTATATAGGTAGGTATCATATATTCAGATATACCGTACTTTCACATGTATATACCATATTTCACAGTCTTTTTCCTGCTTTACTTAGCCTTATGATAAGAAGCATCTGAACCTTACTGCCATGCAGTCAATGGATGACTTACATCAATAATATCGGACAGGTCCTCTACAAAGTACTTGTGTATTGCAGAGTTGGCACTCTCCATGCAGAGCAGATATTCATTGCGTGCCTTCAGAGCTTTCAACTTTGCATCCAGGAACTTGTTATTTCTCTGCAGGATATAAAATAACGTCAGAAATGCACAGAGAAAAATCACTGAAGAAGATTACACGACGATAAGATCAATCAGCAATGAGCATCCCAATCACAATATGTCAAAGATTGAAAGAAAGAAAAATCAAAACCAATACCTTTTGTATCTCTTTCTCGATGACGCGATACTTCTTGCTCTTATCTAGCTTTTCTTTGGGGACAGCAGCTTGCAGCTTTGCTTTCTGCTCCTGGAAACTGGCGAGCTTAGCCTGAGCCGCCTTGTGCTCAGCCTGGTAAGTGTGGTAAGTCCGTAGACTTGTGTGCAGCTCATGCAAGACCTTCAGTAGCTCTTCATGACTCTCATACGCAATCTCACGACACTGCAAAAAAATGCATAGAACCTATAGAAAAAAGCCTGATGCCCTCAACAGTGACGTTTCATTGACAGTTTATGGGGAGTGAAGTAGGTACGGTGAACATATGACGTTAAAGACATCTATTTGTTTTATATTTAAATTGAAACACCACTTTTTATCAATACCCCTCCACAAATTCATTTGATATTGTGCAAATATGATAGCTCAAACTTGTATGTATACTTGTACATTAAAAATTTCACCCTAGGGTAAGGTACACTAATTTGAGCAGTTAGGGTAGCAGCAGTCAAGTTGTTGAGGAAGGATATCTCCTGCAGAAACCCTTTAATGAGCTGGCATAGTGCTAAGTTTGCAAGACGATAAGATGTCTGAATTAGAATGTAATAATTGGAGCACCTGGTTTTAGGATTGCACAGTGCTGCTTCTAATGGACAACCTTCAAGCAGTCAGAAATGTCAAAGGCTAAGGAACGGGTATCAAATAACAATCTAATTTGTTGTGCTTGATATCTGTACTTGTGTGATCAGAGAATTTATCTACAAAATAACAATGTAGCTACTATTTTAAAACACGTGTCCTCTATGAAATTCAGCAATAAACATAGCACATCCATCATATGTGTAAGGTACTGACTCTCTTGTATATCCTGTGGACATCTTCCTGTATCTGTGTGAAGCGCGGCACGATGTTGCTGTGGTAGACCTCTGCCATGGCCGCCTGGTCTCTAGCATCCCTCCGCGTTTGCTGCAGTAAAACCATCCAACAGCTATAGGCGCTTGACAGCTCCCACTGCTCCCGTCTGTAAGACAGAGATTCAGTTAATACTTGTACACAATGCTAATATATTGCAGTGTTAACATTAGTGCTGTTCAGTGTATGCTGACTCTGCATATACCCAGTGGCTATACCGTGAAATGAATACATCAAAGTCAATTGAAGTTTCTTCCATTCACAGGTTGAATAAGAAAGACTTTGGAGGGCTCAAAAGTTATGAACTCTGCTTATTTTAATCCTGTTGCCTCACCAAATGTTAGATTAAGTAAGTTTAGATTATCTATTCACAAAAAAAAGTGGTGTGGATAGCGTAGCATAAAAGTAGTAGAATTTTTTATATATCTATATGGGAGAAAATAAAACTCACTTGACTTTCTGATCCTTGTGCTTGGCCTGGATGGTCTTGGCCATCTTGTCAAGTTTAGATGCATAGTCCTGGTGCACCTCAGCTCTACGGCGCATGAAGTCCTGCATTTCTGTCAGCAGCGACACTTGGGCCTCCACACGGCAATCCAATGCCCGTAGCTGTTCATTTAGCTGGCTCCTCAGCTCTGCAATAGAGAAACAAATCTTACTAAACTAGAATGTGTTGCTTTATCTTATAATTAATAACAATTTGTATATAGGTAACGTATATATATTATATACCAGTATAGCTATGGTATGTAATATATACATTCTCAAAAATAATAGAGCGAATATCCAAGAAAGTAGAAACTAACTTCAGACTGCATTCAGAACAAAGGTTTGATTCTGCATAAAACTATTTCATTCTAATTGAAAAAACTTGACCGCATGTAACTGCATTCAGCTGGTTCCATTCACTAAAACTAGCATCAAATTTTACATTTCCAAGATCATAATAAAAAAATTGAGAGAGAAAATAACATAAAAAAGATGATAATAATTCTTGCAGCAACATCAGTCGTCACAGTCACACAAACAAAATACCGGTATGTATACCGGTATGTAACAAATTTTGTACAACCAGGAATTTGTGTGTCCATGTGAAAAAATCTGATCATTTTGACTCTCCATAATTAAGATGTAAAAACATTACAAATGTTCATAGATACATAAAATTTTCAAATAAGTGTTCCTTATAAATGAGATGAACTAAGTGCTAAACAACAAATTTTACCTGGAAATTTATTATTGAGTAGTCTGGGGTCTGGGGCAGGCATGATGCTAAAATCAGCAGTAGATATATAGCCTCAGCCAATAATTTTAAATTATTCTCCTTTGATGACTAGATAACATGGCAAATTTTGCAATGCTTAGTTACAAGATTGAAAACCACATAGGTACCATAGAGCAAATAATGTTGCTTGTATGTATCTTCCAAAGCAAACAGTATCAAAATAAACAGATTCAAATTAAAAAAAAATTAAATCAATTGTTTCACTACTATAAACTCGAATTTGCACCTCAATTCAAGAAGTATTGGCTGTATCTTAGAAATTAACATGATCAAACTATGCATTCAAACTTTCATATCATGATACCATTGCCTAATAGGCTAATGCTAATGGATACTTGGATAGTAATGGTATAACTATTAAATAGGGCTTGAGAATAATTCTCATGCCAATATCATGAAGATGGGATTCAATTTTAAAATGTACATTATTCTATCATTTACAAGTTAATTAATCAAAATTTCAAGAAGTCAATACAAGAGGTCACAATGAATGAATGAATGAAAAACATCAAGTCCTACTTGCTATCAAATGAATTAACCTATTTTAATTAAAATCATAAATAACCCTAATTACCCTATAGACAAATGAGTTCACATACACATTGAATGAAAATTCCCAATATTGATATAGCAATACATTTTCTATTCTGAACCTGAAAAATTGATTTAACTAAGGTACCCCTATTTAAGTAATTTAACTTAGTAAGATAGGTTAGATAGCTAGTAGATATTTCATTTGCAACACATAAAGAAATATTCTGAATTTAAACTGTACAGGAGTCAAATACAGATTAATGCCACAGCATAACTCCTGTAAAACAAGTTGTCAAGGCTGATTGCTGAGGTTAGTGTAGTGTCAGTCTCAGAGACTCCCAAGTGCGGTATTGAGGTATATCACTATATGTCACGCAGCCACTAAGAAACTTTGAACCCCAACTGCCGACGTCAGCATTATACGTAGACCGTAGTGGCGGTACTGCGATAAAATATTTCCAACTGTTCACTAAATCATTCCTTCATAATTAATAACAAGCAGAATTGCTCGCGTCTTTCGTGAAGCGGGATGTAATTTGACCCCTGTGGCTGTCCAAGACTGATGAGAGCAGGCGGTATATTTTCTCGTTACGTTAGGGCTTACTAGCACACCAGTTGGTCTCGCCGCATGTTCTTTGAAAGTTATTAAACACTAGAAGCCTTTTCATTACACTGGAATACTTATAAACAAAAACAATAAAAGAGTATTCCCAAATTGTTTTTCATAAAATCATAAGCACAAAATTAAAATTTCAATGAAAAACCACGCCTACATACTGTCAATTGATCAGCAGTGACCCAGGCACAACCACACACTCAGCAGCCCGAGACGCAACTGACAAATCCTTGGGACCTTGAGAGTCGCGAGCTTGCTGACGCTAACAACAGACAGCAAAAGCCTACCAATTTGTCTGTATTCACAGGATGTCAGAACACGATACTCGTTGTTGTTGTTTGTTTTAAGGTGACTGAAATGGCTTCCGACAGGGCACTCGTTGCATCAGGATTCATCAGAAGATCTTCGGCTGATGCTCGCAATACTCAACTTTAATTTGTGATTTTAGGTGACATGAGACACCATGAGATAGTGTGTGCCTCTAGGTAAATTTTGGTTTCCTGTTTCAAGCATCAGGATTTTATTTGTTACTTAGCATGGGGCATGACCAGTTTAGTTTTTAGCTTCAACTGATGAAAAACATAAAGTGGTAAAGGGAATATAGCCGTCTAATGTTTTATTGTAACTTATAAGAGTCCAGCCAGCACCTTACGGACCTGCCAGCAGGCAATAAGTCCAGCAGCTATCTCAGTCAATTGTAAGTTATGGAAAGATCGGATTCCAAAAGCCGGATCCCTTGTGAATCAAGTCACGAAGAGTACAAGAATCGGCAACAGGCCATGGGCCTATTTCTTCAGTGCCGACACTTCTATTCTATTCTAACCTGGAGTAGCAGGTGTACTATATCTTCAATAAATAATTAATCGAAGAAGAATCTCCAAACGCAAGGTGAAAAAAACATTTTAGCAATCTACCAAAATGATGATTTTTGACAATACCCAACAAAAGTGGTAACAAGGCATATATTTTAAATTTGCAACATAATCGGCTTGAGATCTTAAAACTGTCGCATGGCTTCAATTTCGGACTTAATGCATGCATGTAACGGGCTGGACCAACAGATGTATCTCGGGGCGCTGCCTTCTACCTGAAATGAATTTCAAGTGGAAAGCAGCAGACAAAGTCCGAGTTCACGAATTCAACACTGAAAAAGATATAACAACCCTAAACCATAAGAATTGAACAATTAAAATCTCTCCAAAAACCGACATTGACGGCAATTGCCACTGATTTTGCCTTTTTAAAAATAGTTTCCTGGTCAGACCATAAATTATTTAGGAAGTGGATGCGAGAAATATTCGTCGACGCGCGTCAGACTAACCACGACTGATAAGGAAAACATATTTCGACGTGTCTCTTTTAGAACTAGAACCACGAATTATGCAACAATAACATTTGACATAATGATAATTAAGGTACGTACATCAGGAATACAAACATAATGATTATGTTGCGATGAGTGTCCTGTACGTTGTATGACATCGCTTTGAAGGAACCATTCGCCCGCTAAAACATCATGCGTTGCCTACACGTTGCAACAGAGCCTCATTGAGCTGATAGCAACAGCATCCGGTTGCATGGTGGCAGATGAGCGATTTCTGCTCGAGTTTGACGCTATTTTCGAGCATCTTTCAGTGATGACTTAATTCAACTTGCATGAAGATCATAGCATGAAGGACACTCAATCTTGTGTTCAAGTTAATTAATCATGCCAGATGTATGGTAGGTTAAAGCTGTCTTGTATGTTAAAAAATCGTGCCCTATGTAAGCTAGGTTTCTTGTCTGTTTGAAAATGGACACGTATGTAAGGAACTAAAGATCATATAGAGCTGGCTCGTTAGTTAGGAAATCAAGTTATTTGTAATCTAGGATAAAGATGCCTATCTAATAATCGAGTCGTCTGTAAGAAGGGATAATGCGGTCTCGTCAGATTGTAAGCTAGGATAAAATTGTATTGTCTGTTTAAAAACAGAGCCAAACTAAACTTGGATAAAGCCAACTTGTCTGGAACAAAGACGGTTGCTGAAGGTTATATCCTCGTCTAAGCGGAAACGCTCACAATTTCCCTAAATGCAACAACCCGTGACGTCACACCGCAATTCTACGTCACAGAAAATCCCTCGCCTGCCACCGAATTTCTCCCGCGTCACGGAGAGTTAAAGCTGAGTAATCGGACCTGCGAGAGTAAAGCCGCTTAATTCTATTGGTGTTTCACCTTATTCAAACCGAAGTGGAAATTATATATACTTTTTTATATACCTTATATACTTGTTACTTGTTAGCTATTAGTATTAGATGCAGAATTAGCTTGTTTGAACTAGGACTGTTAATGGCCATAGAAGTTATTGATAGATCTAAATTTTCAGGGTCTAACAATTCTACAAATTACGTTGGTTGATCGATATGCAGGTTTTAGGAAAAAAATGTAGTTAATTAACGACGTTACGTATGTGACAACATTAATTTTCAAGTTATAGGAAGCATTGAAGGCTATTGTAGACGTTTTGCTAAAATTTTAGGTTCACATTGCGCATATTTAATTCCAAGACTTTTCAGAATAACTCGAAATCAAACCAACTGAGTTGTCGAAAGATTTTTGACGATCACTTTTCAACAAGCCTTTGAAAATCTTAGATTCATATCCGGGCCAAGGCCATTAACTCACAAATAAATATATATAGTTCAGTCGGACCTTACAGTAATTATATACTCAAGCCTGCTGATATGAAAATTTTGCAGTAAAAGTGTTTAAGCTTTATCGCTAAGAAGCGTTTCCTTATATCTTTACTACGCGTATGTTTTTGCAATGGTATCTTTTATTGGGCCCAGCATTGTGTCATTCCTTACGTGCTTGCATCTTATCTTGCGTCACAGTATCTTGTCCAGGCCATACTTTCAAAATTCGCTAAGTGAACGTAAGTACTTACGCTCTATTTTCTTGTCTATGATTGGTGGATTTTGCTTGAAAGGCCGTCAATGATTGGCTGATGAACTTACGATCTTTCTCTTTCTGAAAGTATATAGGCCCAGGCTGAGCTCCCGTATATATCTTGATCGCGCTGGAGTTAGTACGCAGAGTTCATGTGGTGAAGGTGGTATTAGCGGAGTAAAATCATTCGCTAAAATTATCAGACACAGAAAATAAGATACGAAGAAGAACGAGCAACAGAAGGGCCCAGTCTGAGAACCCAATACAGCCGAGCTGGGGTTCTATATAAAAAATCAAGAAAGTCCCCAAATCCAGGTTCTAACGTCTGCTATTGGCGGGTGCGACTTGAAACTTGAATCGTGATTGGCTGAGTAATTCACGTCTCTGAACGAGTCGTGAGATAAAATCCGCGGCTGGCGCAGGCCAAATGATTGCCGCTATTACCGTCGCCCACACCACAGGCCGCGGATACGAATGCCGACATTGCATGCTGGGACTCGGAGTAGTTGGAGCAGTTTAGGTGATAGGCACGAGCCAATCAGCGGGATGGGCAATCAGCACAAAGTAAAGACGGATTTAGAGTAAAAAAAATGGATAAGAAGTCACAGACATGAGACATGTACACGCGAGCACCACAACAGCTGAGGCAAACATCACAGCAGGTGAAGAAACTACTACATCGTCGATATTAAAACAGATGAGGTATGAGCGATCATAAAGTACGCTCATTGATGCGTGGGCACATTCAACAGGACTGTGATTCAACAGGCAAGCGTGATATCAACGGGACTGTGACAACAATGCAGCGTGAGTGTGGCAAGCGTGTTATCAACAGGACTGTGATAACAATGCAGCGTGAGTGTGGCAAGCGTGTTATCAACAGGACTGTGATAACAATGCAGTGCGAGTGTGGCAAGAGTGTTATCAACAGGACTGTGATAACAATGCAGCGTGAGTGTGGCAAGCGTGTTATCAACAGGACTGATAACAATGCAGCGTGAGCGTGTGGCAAGCGTGTTATCAACAGGATTGATAACAATGCAGCGTGAGTGTGGCAAGCGTGTTATCAACAGGATTGATAACAATGCAGCGTGAGCGTGTGGCAAGCGTGTTATCAACAGGATTGATAACAATGCAGCGTGAGCGTGTGGCAAGCGTGTTGCCACTAACAGCAGGCCATAACATATCCATTGCATGGCGTCATGTGACAGCATTACAATGCTAATTCAATCGTAGGTTTGAGCTAGAGAAGAAACACAAGTATCACGGATGTCGGCATTTCATGAAACTAATAACCTAATATCGGAGTAAACGTAACTAATGGCCAGATGGTAACTAATAGCCTTATATTGGAACAAATATAACTAGTGGGCGGAATGTAACTAATAGCCTGACATTGGAGCAAATGTAACTAGTGGGCAGAATGTTTCATATTGGAGCAAATGTAACAAGTGGGCAGACTAAATAGTCTACTATAGACAACCAAGAGGCAGACACGCTAGCCTCAAAAATAAAGAAACCTGCGTGAAGACTTTAACTGCACAGAACAATTCCATGTTTTATATCAAACAAAAAAAATACTAAAGATTCGCCAGGTCCTCATGCTGCTGCAGGACCGTGTGTCAACCGTTTATTCGACGTGTGAATTGCACCGGAGATTCTAAATATTACGTCCATCATAACGTTTAATAACATTCTTCTTTCCATTCGTCCTAAAGAAAATATGACATGTAGTGACAGATTTTCTGCTGCATGACTCAGGTGTTATAATAAAAACATATGCAAGCGAAGATTATTATTCAGATAAATAAATACAGTGAAACAATTTCCTGTTGTATACACGTATGCACATGTTTCACGCACACGCACGCAGCCTTTGTACGGCGTCACGCACACGCACGCAGCCTTTGTACGGCGTCACGCACACGCACGCAGCATCTTAACGGCGTCACGTACACGCACGCAGCATCTCAACGGCGTCACGTACACGCACGCGTCACGTACATGCACGCAGCATCTTAACGGCGTCACGTACACGCACGCATCACGTACACGCACGCATCACGTAAACGCACGCATCACTACCTGCACGCAGCATTTTAACGGCGTCACACACACGCAAGCAGCGATATAACAGTATTCTAAGATAGTAGAGATTATGCTAGTGTTTTTATTATTATTTATGGAGATAAAGAAGCGATCTGAACTTCAAACCTACAGCTGAACACTAGGGAATGCAATGATGTATATATCCGGCATTATATCAAAGAGAGTAGGTGAAGACTGCAAAAATCCGAATATATATCCCAGTTACATGCGTGAATTATGATTACCATTCACAATAAATAGAAGTAGACCAATAGTAATCCACAATTTTCGGTTGTTAGATTATCACAGGGAAAACATAAGAACTGCGTTGTCTTATTTATCAGAACGCTTCATCAGCAATAAAATAATCAGGTAACATAAAATTACATCTATTTTTAACATTGTCTGGCGAACCAATTTGAAAAATGCATCCTAATCATCCAACTCTCAATGTAGACATTTTTAATTAAATGTGAATTTTCCAAAACTTTAATTTCCTGTCAAGTTTTATTTGTTCAATCCTGGTTTTTCAGCGCATTTTCTCATTTATGGAAAAAAAGGCGCTATTGTGCTCGTCATGTCCGTCCGTCCGTCTGTCCGTGACTTCACGTTTTCGTCGACGAGAAAATGCGCTCTCTGTCACTCACTACAGTGAGTACTGAGTTATATTTTTGTTTGTTATGGTTAACAGTAAAAATACCAGTAACTTCGGCTGACAAAAAATAAAATTCAATAGCGCCAACCGCGTACCGGACATGACTGCCTGTCTGGGGCGTCAGCTCACTTCCCAAGTGTGTCACTCAGCTGTGCCACATGAGTCACGTCTGTGCCACATGAGTCACGTCTGTGCCACATGAGTCACGTCTGTGCCACATGAGTCATGTCTGTGCCACATGAGTCACGTCTGTGCCACATGAGTCACGTCTGTGCCACATGAGTCACGTCTGTGCCACATGAGTCACGTCTGTGCTCTATACTCACCGTCTGTGTCGTGCAGCTGCGCAACGTACAGGCGGTGCCACATGAGTCACGTCTGTGCCACATGAGTCACGTCTGTGCTCTATACTCACCGTCTGTGTCGTGCAGCTGCGCAACGTACAGGCGGTGCAGGTCGGTGCCAGAACGCGCCGCCCACCAGCTGCGAACCCTGCGGTTCTCCTCGCTCAGCCAGCCGTGCAGCGTCGACAGCTTGCCCGCGGACGTCGTGGTGCCCGCGGACGTCGTGCTGCCGTTCGTGATTGTAAGGTTGTCGGCCGGTGCGGTTCCATTGGAGAGCTGTGAATCGCATATTGAGGTTCGACCTGAGACTGCCGTGGAGGAGGAAGGCATGGGAAAGGTCCTCCCTGCTTCATAAGTAGTGATGCTTCTGAAGCTGTCCCTGCGGGTGAAGACTTCCGCGTCGCTGCGGGTGGCGGTTTTCGTGTTCCTCAAGCTGCCTTTGCGGGTGACAGCTTCAGTATTGGGGGCTGGACTGGAGCTGTCGCTGTCGGGGGATTCCAGCGAGATGGGGGACTCAGACACGTGTGTCTGGTCACCCTCGCCGAGGGGGTCGAGGTTCATAGCTTGCTGATTATCTGCATTTGTATTCCCACAGTTTGGCGAGGAGTTGCTAGAACTGCACTATTGTGGCTTACGTTAAAAAAGTTTATGACACTCACGTTTTAAATACACTGATCTTTGTTTTTTCTTTGGCTACTTGGCAGCTGCTTATAACATATGAGTAAGACGGTCACTGACTATACATTAACCCGAAAAGTTTCCAGAGTAGCGGTATTCACCTGACATCACGCGAGCACTAGCAGCACTGAGGTACATCAGCGCTACTCTAAATCACTAGCCACGACGCTAGCTCAACGTCATTTAAGTGCATGGCGTCATTAATATAACCTAAAATTAACACACAAAGTAACAACTAACAACACACATCAACCAGCCTGGAACGACAAATAGAATTGAAGCTGCATTCTCAACCAATAAAAGTTTTGCGGCAAATTCGTATAGAAATCATGAGAAATGATGTACTTTCGAGTAGGCAAATCCTGACAAATCCCCTAGAATAACTAAATATGGTTGACGAATAAAATATTAACTTTCCAACTTTCATTTTATTTTCATACTAACTTGAAACTTAGAAGACTATTTTGAAAGCTGCACGTCCAGCGCTGCACAACCGCAGTAACAATCCAAGGAAAGCGCGCATCGCAACTTTCATCTCAGCCTCTCGACGCTTTCCTCTAACGTTCCTAACGCACGCGCTTCTATCCGAAGAAGTTAAATCTCTGCACGCGGCTGCATTATTCGCTGCAAAATCTTGTTCATGGAACATTTCTTACTCACAGAGAAACGTTAGGACATGAATGTTCGTTAGGGTGTTCCGCACATATGTCATTTAAACTCGTGATGGAAAACATACGATACAGAAATCTATTTGAAACACTGGAAAATTTAAATATAAAACTGTAATTTAATGAATTTATACTTCAGCCTTAGCTAGCGAATAGCGAGGAGAATTTCGCATCGGTCGGCTATATGGAATCTGGCGAGGTTAGTAACAGCTACACGAATTTTATGCCAACTGGCTTCTTTATACGCAGCCATCTTTGCCTTACGCAGAAATAAGTGGGGTTTTCAGGTGGTCCAGAATCGCTGCGATCGATCGGTGCCAATGAGATACTAATTATAATTTGTCTTATTCGTTAATGCCTGGGAGATAACATAAATGTTAATTTCAGGCTATAAGTCGCTCGAATTGCAGACAAGTATGAAATGTACCTATAGCACTGCCGCTGTTTTCAAGTCGCTTGCAACTCGTCTTCTTTTGAAAGCCTCTTCGAGAAAATGATGAACAGAAAAATTGGTTGTGACGAGTGGGGCATTAGAGTATGAATATCATCGCAATGAACGCCGGTTTGAACCCAGCAGAAGGAGTGGGTAAAAAACATGGAACTTATATAATCAAGTCACAGTACGAACGAGACAACGCGGGCAAGACAACACGAGCGAGACAACACGAACGAGACAATACGGGCGAAACGACACGAGCGAGACAACACGGACGAGACAATACGGGCGAAACAACACGGGCGAGACAACACGAGCGAAACGCCACGGGCGAGACAACACGAGCGAGACAACACGGACGAGACAACACGAGCGAGACAACACGGTGAGACAACACGGGCGAGACAACACGAGCGAGACAACACGGACGAGACAACACGAGCGAGACAACACGGACGAGACAACACGGGCGAGACAACACGGACGAGACAACACGAGCGAGACAACACGGGCGAGACAACACGGGCGGGGGCCACTTCACCGACTGAACAGTTGCGAGTGCAGCAGGGGAGACTGCAGCATTCTGTGATGCTCCTTATCAGCGCACAGTGAGCCGCTTGTCAGGTTGCGTTATCTAACAGAAATTTAATATAAATATTCCACGATAAAACAAATATTTTTGCTTAGCATTAGCCGTCTGCTGTGTATATACGTTCGTGACCGCGATTATGATTTTACTCCCGACAGAAGTTTACAATGTATAAGTTATACAAACAATTGCGCCAGTTTACATTGATCGTAAGTTATACAATGATGCCAGTTTACGTTGATCGTAAGTTATACAATGATGTCAGTTTACGTTGATCGTAAGTAATACGATGATGCCAGTTTACGTTGATCGTATATAAGTAATACGGTGATCTGAAAGTTTGATTTCACGTCCACGCTCACTTTTCTTTAAGGCTTATCTGTAGATAAGAAGGAAAAATTTCGGAGTCACAATGATCATATGACGGCACTGAATCTCACGAACTAACGGAGCAGCGTATAACTTTCAGAATATAATATTAATACCTACATTAACAAGGTGCCAAAAATGATCTAATATTTAGTGTGGCGTTGAAACTGTATAAAATTTATCACGCTAGAACTTTACTTGTGCAGCGCTGCGATTATTTACTTAAAAAATAGCCGAAATTTCATGCAGGAAATTGCGTCACAGGAAGTGAGAAATTATTTATATTTCTCATTTCCATTCGTAACGACGTTGCATCATGACGTGGCAGGTTTGCGTATTTGTAATTTGAGTGATAATTTGGCGCTTAGATATTTTATGTTAAATATCATATGTATTTAAAATAGTATTTTAGATGATCATTGTTCCTCGGGTGAACTGATGATTTCAGAATATCTTTTTCAATTTGCTATTGATTTTATCCTAGTCCATTCCTGCTTGGCCGCTTATCCATTTATTTTCCCACGATTTAATTGTATCCTACAATATGAAATAACCGCTACGAATGTTAGATATGCAAACATCATACTGTTCAAAATAGACTCAAAATTTTTCGGTAAAAAACATAATGATTTTTTGACAAAATCTTGAGTTACAAATATTTTGGTTCTGGCGTTAGCGTTGAAAAATAAACCCCTGAGCCTGGTGTAATTCCAGGCCATGGATTCGTAAACTCGGTTGATTTTGTGAAGATGAACACTGTCCGTTTAAGATGAACACTGTCCGCTCAAGAGGAACACTGTCCGCTCAAGATGAACACTGTCCGCTCAAGAGGAACACTGTCCGCTCAAGATGAACACTGTCCGCTCAAGATGAACACTGTCCGCTCAAGATGAACACTGTCCGCTCAAGATGAACACTGTCCGCTCAAGATGAACACTGTCCGCTCAAGATGAACACTGTCCGCTCAAGATGAACACTGTCCGCTCAAGATGAACACTGACTGTTCAAGAATCGAGCCATGCGAGAGTTACTCTTTGACTACTCACAGTAACTCTAGTTTCCAGGTTTCAATATCGAATATAAATGTTTATATAACTGTGGACAAACGGTTGACCCTTTATATATTGCAGTGAATGTTTACCAGGCAATCACAGACGAATAACGTTGCTGTCATAGCTCCCCCCCCCCACAGCCACATGCGTCTCAGGTGTGATACGAATGGCTGAGTAATTCAGCCATTCATTTACCAGCAGTGTAATTTAGCCAATCATTGGCCAGCAGTATAACTCATCAATTCATTAGAGAGCTGTGTAATTCACCCATTCATTAGACAACAAAGTAATTCAGCCATTCATTAGATAACAAAGTAATTCAGCCATTCATTGACAAGCAGTGTAATTCAGCCATTCATTGGCCAGCAGTATAATTCAACAATTCATTAGATAGCAGTGTAATTCAGCAATTCATTAGAGAGCAGTGTAATTCACCCATTCATTAGACAACGAAGTAATTCAGCTATTCATTGGCCAGCAGTGTAATTCAGCAATTCATTGGCTAAATGTGTGATTCAGTCATTACATTGCCAGTTTGTACCTACACATGCAGCGCAGTGTAACGAGTCACAGGATCTGCGGACAACAGAGAACTGTACAGCACAGCATGGCGCTCGTCCTCAAGCATGGCCGGCATTATATAGGAGGCGGACGGGCGGCCAACCGAGATGCGGAAATAATATTTACAGGGTCAGCGTCGCCACATCGATGGAGTGAACCGCCACATGTGGCGCTCTGAAGTGACGGCGATAACAGAGAGTGGCTGCTGACTGCTGAGTGCCTGCACACACGACGTTGTGGCACACGTGACATTGTGGCACTCACGCGCGCCGAACTCGCGATGCCGTGGCACTCACGAGCGCCGTACACGCGACTCACAAATTAGCGTGTCTATTTGTGGCGTCGCGTCCTCAACCGTCGCCATAAGCACCGCACTCTGCATGAGCTCCTCAAGATCTTTTGTTTTTAATTCGTCTTTGCAATAAGACGTCATATATGTCATTATATGATAGTTGCAATAGGGGCGACCGTGATGTGTCTTGCGCTGGTCCTTAGTTTTACTATAGTGGCAAGTCTTACGATAACAGTTCTTAGAACTTGCGACCATCGTAGAAATTACGGAAAACTTGGAACTCACAAACAGCGTAGAGCCATTGTAATAATTTCCGTCAGGTAAGTGGAACAAATAGAAAGGATCTGCTATCTCATCAAGTAAACCGTTCTGTACGATTTACCTGATGAGATGACAATGTTAAAAGTACCTAGGTACCTAACTAAAAAATCGAGCAGTTTTCTTTCAGGCACATACAAGAGTCAATGATGATGTTGTGTCGACCATAATCACAACTAGATGACCAGCAGGTCACTAATGGACGTGGTAGCAAGACTAGCAACTAGCGATGAACAGCACTGGATATGTTAACTACTGGGCCAGGCACTATACAGTCGTAGGCATCAAGAGAACAGACGCGTTGTTCCCGTCTTGTAGCGACATAAAACACGGTAACTAGGGTTGTGTTCTGCCTTTTCTCCCAACCACGAGAGTCACGAGACTAGAAGTTAGTCAAAACAGGCAGGCACCTGGCGCAGGTGTTGTTGAGGCTCCTGCGTAGGATACCTAACTACACGTTGGGTACAAACACACGCAGCACTACACACTATAAAATCCTTTAATTTTACCTCAAAATATTTCATTTATCCACAGACACGAGTTCATTGTCATAACACTCGCTCGATACTTCCGAAAATAAATTTCGTTGTTTAGGTGCGGACCGCCATGCCCGCCGGTAGCGCACCGTGCCACCAACCTCACTCCATCACAGCCGGGGCCGCACTGCTGCTGGCGCCTGGCGGACGAACGAAGCTTGTTTTGCCCTCAGTGTGCACGCCTTGCTTGCTCCCTCGTGTTTTCGAGTGCGTCACACCTTGACTCACTTCGTGACTCGCTGGTAACTTTCAGTAACACAAACACTATTTTTATTTGACTCATACTTTATTCTAAAAAGCATCCATGACGAGACACTTGTGCCAAAAGAACTTCTGGAAGGCGGTGCAGCTAACAGGATCAAGCGAACACCAGACAATGAGAAGGATAGGCTAATGGGAGGTATAGAATAACGACTTATAAATGGCTTAT